TTCTGTATTTCTGATTTTCTTTCTTTTTTCCTTTTTTCGTTTTTTCCCCTTTCTTTTCTTCTTTAAATTTTTCCTTTACTAACTTAAACCATTATAGATTTATCTTTTTGCTTTTGAAGAGCAGGTCACTTCAGTTTCAGCTTAATAAAACTTTCTAGTTTTTAAAATAATCTATGGTGGCGTAGCTTGGTAGCTCGGTAGCTTGGTAGCTCGATAGCTTTGCTAGAAAGGCTGTTGGCGATTGTGCACCATTTTTTGGGTGCAAAATTTGTTTAAAACGTTATATATAAAACAATGTAATATTATTAGGGATTTAATTTACATCCAATACATGAGCTGTACATGGGGGGGGAGGGGGGGAGGAAGGGGCTGCTTGGTCTCAACTTGATGTGCCCCGAGAGCTGTCAATCCAGGCTACGCCAATCATGTACTCTTTAACAATTATTTAACGTCCAATCAATTTACAAGAGACTTATTTTATCGTTACACAGGGTTTGACCCCCTTATGTTGTGGATGTTCAGTGCACAAGGCGGAGAAATGAGCAAGTACTTACCATTTCTCTTTATGATGCAACAGCAGCAGGCGCCAGCGGCGGACCCCAACGCTGGCGGTGGTGGGGGCCCAATGGTGTAAATCAAGACTCAAAATGCTCAAACTTCGCCGCAATCATGTGTTCGAAATGCTAATGTGTAAATATTTACAGAATTTGGACATTTGTATAAAGGCAATTATAAGTAAATGAAATAAATCATGCACACTTTGTATGTATGAAAGTAATGATAGGACGACCTCCCGCAATGTGAGTCAACGTTTAATTTATCAATTTGAACAGAGGTTCCCAAAGTACGCACCGCATTGCTCACAGTGGTGCAGGGACGTTTAAAAGAAGAAAAAAAAATGTTTATAATGTGACATCTCACGGGGTTGGCGCCAAAGAGTAACTCCCACAGCGACAGCTGTTTGCAGAAGTCGTCAACGATGCTAGTACATGGCGCTCTGTAATAATGAAGTTGATCGTTTTTTAGTTTCTCGGACTTTCCTGGAACTCTGGGTTCGTAAATAAATGACTGTCGGCGTAACGCAGTCTTAGTGTGAACTTGGTTTTGGACATTTAAAAAAAAAGAATATTGTTGTGGTTGAGTCAAGCTAAGTTAATGAGGTATTTATTCTTATTTTTATTCCTTAAAAAAAAAAGAACTTTTTAAAAACAAAAAAAACAGAACATTGATCAAGAAAATGTAAAATCGCTTTAGAATTTGACTTAAGGCACCATGAGAAAAAATTAGAAGTGACTCGAAAAAGCTTGGGAACCTTTGTAGTAAGGTCGTTAGACAATCTTCTAATCATTAGAGTGAGTATTTTGAGTGTGAGTATTGAGTGATTTTGTTTTGATATAATTCGAAGAAAAATGTTCACATAGCAAAAACTGTCTTTAGTTACATGGAGGTGTTTCAATGACCTTTAGCATTTTTAATGCTTGCTCTTTCATAAAACTCCAGTTTAAATGACTATTTTGTCAACAACATCTCACGCACTGATATCCATGTTCTATTTTCAAAGAAACCGATTGTAAGTCTTAACTTATTTTAAGGACCCACATTCTCTTTTCTCCTGTAAAATTTCCGAATTAAACATTTCATTTTTCACCAATCACAGTAACAGAATAAACGTCATATCAACATGACAAAAGGCTTCATGTTTTTGGAACTTCATCTGTTTATCGCCAGCAACATTCGTGAACTCTTTATTTTAAATCTATTAACTCTGAAATAAAAGACTGTAATGGAGACAATGAGATTGAAGGAAAAAGGAAAGAAAAAAGATAGAGGGCAAGGAATGAAATAGAACAAGGAAGAGAGGGACGGAACAAAACGGAGTGAGGAAGTGAATATATTTTTTAAAGAGATGGATGGTACAAAACGGAGTGGGAAAGTGAATGTATTTTTTAAAGAGATGGATGGTACAAAACGGAGTGGGAAAGTGAATGTATTTTTTAAAGAGATGGATGGTACAAAACGGAGTGGGAAAGTGAATGTATTTTTTAAAGAGATGGATGGTACAAAACGGAGTGGGAAAGTGAATGTATTTTTTAAAGAGATGGATGGTACAAAACGGAGTGGGAAAGTGAATGTATTTTTTAAAGAGATGGATGGTACAAAACGGAGTGGGAAAGTGAATATATTTTTTAAAGAGATGGATGGTACAAAACGAAGTGGGAAAGTGAATATATTTTTTAAAGAGATGGATGGTACAAAACGGAGTGGGAAAGTGAATGTATTTTTTAAAGAGATGGATGGTACAAAACGGAGTGGGAAAGTGAATGTATTTTTTAAAGAGAGTGGCTGAAAGAAAGGGAACGACAAAGTGAATATATTTTGTAAAGACAGCCACTGTGATGAGGATTAAAAGGATTAAACTGGTTGGTTAAAATGTCTACAATTTAATCTGATCAAATTGTTAATGAAAAAGCTTCGCTAACAGTATACGATATTCCATTTCATTTGGAAATGTTAAATGTAGAATATTTGATGTCTAATTGGAAGTTGATCGATTGATAACATTTTACAAATAATAGGAGACAAAATCAACGACACATTTTAAAGCAATTAAACTCGATTTAAATGTGACACCACACATGAAACATAAACTATAAATTACATGTGATAAATATACAAGTCATATTAAATATTAAGGTCAAATAATATTGCTTCTTTCCATTTTTGTTTGTTTGAGGGAGTCCTATAGTCAGTGAGGATAATCGGTCTGTGTAATCGGTCAGTATAATCGCAAACTTAAGTCTGATCGATCTCAACTAAGGATATTAAAGTATTGAAATTAGTTTATAAAACTCAAGTGTACATGTGCAAGATAGACTACTCGGATTAACAGCATCAACTCATGATGCTCACGAAGTTCACATGTAGTGGTGTCATGAAGCTGACGTCATGAAGTTAACATGTAGTGGTGTCAAGATGCTGACGTCATGCAGGTCACGTGTAGTGGTGTCAAGATTCTGACGTCATGCAGGTCACGTGTAGTGGTGTCAAGATTCTGACGTCATGCAGTTCACATGCAGTGGTGCCCAGATGCTGACGTCATGAAGTTCACATGTAGTGGTGCCCAGATGCTGACTTCATGAAGTTCACATGTAGTGGTGCCCAGATGCTGACTTCATGAAGTTCACATGTAGTGGTGCCCAGATGCTGACTACATGAAGTTCACATGTAGTGGTGCCCAGATGCTGACTTCATGAAGTTCACATGTAGTGGTGCCCAGATGCTGACTTCATGAAGTTCACATGTAGTGGTGCCCAGATGCTGACTCCATGAAGTTCACATGTAGTGGTGCCCAGATGCTGACTCCATGAAGTTCACATGTAGTGGTGCCCAGATGCTGACTTCATGAAGTTCACATGTAGTGGTGCCCATATGCTGACTTCATGAAGTTCACATGTAGTGGTGCCCAGATGCTGACTTCATGAAGTTCACATGTAGTGGTGCCCAGATGCCATAACGCCCTAGTGGGGGTGGGGTCAAGATGCCATAACGCCCTGGTGGGGGTTGGGCCAGGATGCCATTCACCCTGGTGGGGGTGGGGTCAAGATGCAATAACGCCCGTTTCATCTATGGAATAACGTGTTTTTCTATGAATGTGTTCCTCACAATCAATTTATTCCTCACAATCAAAATATTGCTCACAATCAATGTTTTTCCTCACAATCAATGTATTCCTCACATTCAATTTATTCCTCAAAATAAATTTGGGCTTAATAACAATCATTAGGCGCCGTGGCGTCACTAGGTAGTGCGGTGGTCACGAACCCTAGTGACACGTCTGATCAGGCGGTTTGTGGGCAAATAATAAATGAATACAGTAATCAAATCATCCTTGTTTTTTAAGACATCAGTGTACTCGAGTGATGGAGGAATTAGATCAAATGAAATAAGATGACGAAAAGCAAAATGAAAGAAATGTGTTCTTAGTCAAAATGACAATGTTTTGTTTTGGAAATACAACACCAGCCCCACTTTTTTTCCGGGCTTATGTTGACAAGAATGTGCACATAAGATCTTAGCGCACCCCCTCTTAACGGAGAAACAGTCAATGAACTAAATGTATAAATGAAATGAAATTTGAAAATGATAAAAATAAATAGTTTAAACTCAAAAAATGGCAAAGACGGAGCCAGAACATTTTCAGACCAACAAAAGGGCCAGAACAGTCTCAGACCAACAAGACAATCAGAACAGTCTCAGACCAACAAGACCACCAAAAACAGTCTCAGACCAACAAGACAATCAGAACAATCTCAGAACAACAAGACAACCAGAAACAGTCTCATACCAACAAGACAATCAGAACAGTCTCAGACAAACAAGACAACAAGAAGCAGTCTCAGATCAACAAGACAACCAGAAACAGTCTCAGATCAACAAGACAACAAGAAACAGTCCCAGACCAACAAGACAATCAGAACAGTCTCAGACAAACAAGACAACAAGAAGCATGCTCATACCAACAAGACCACCAGAAACAGTCTCATACCAACAAGACAATCAGAACAGACTCAGACAAACAAGACAACAAGAAGCAGACTCAGACCAACAAGACAACCAGAAACAGACACATACAACAAGACTACCAGAAACAGAACCAGAGCAACAAGACAACAAAAAAAAAAACAGTCTCAGACCAACAAGACAATCAGAACAGTCTCAGAACAACAAACGATTTCCCGACCTTTTCCAAACAAAAACAAAAAAAAAACTTCTGAAACTGAAACCCATCTCCACAACCCTGGTGACAAGCTTGCAGACTTGAGAACACGAACATAGACACATTTGAACGCATGCTAGAAAACTCACAAGACTCCTAACAACATAATTAAATACATACAGGAGGTTTGGTTAGCACCAAGAAATAACTGAAAACAACGTAGCTGTGCTCACATGAAAAATAAACGCCATTTTAATTGTGTATAATTAACTGTAATCTTTTATGACGAACGTATAAATGAATAGAAATCAATAAAATGATTCTTTCAATAAACTTTCCTGCAAGCTCTTGCCGGATTCTTCCTCGCTATCACGGACGGGTCTGGAGGGACAGCGGTTGCTGTAGATGTTGGAAATAAAGATATAAAACATTTGATTCAGACCTCTTGGCTTTATTCGATGATTTACAAAGAATGAATATGCAAGTCTAGTCTTACAATCTTTGGGTAAGGCTAAAGAGACGTTGTTTAAAAGTGTGCACCAACACGCAAATACGTTTGCAAATATACCTAATAGCCTAAATTTAAAGTTTAAACTGTCCATTAAAAGGACACCTGACGTGTTTCTAACTTTGGGCTTCAAGTTATTTTGTTCCCCACATGTTCTTTCAAATAAGCCTCAAACAAAAGTTATAAAAATTGACAGACACAATAGTGACCAGAGAATGATCGGAGAGTGACCAGAGACAGACCAGATAGTGACCAGAGACATACCAAAGAGTGACCAGAGACGGAGCAGAGAGTGGCCAGTGACAGACAAGATAGTGGCAAGATGGAAGACTTGAGAGTGACCAGAGACAGACTAAAATATGACCAGAGTCAGACCAGAGAGTGACCAGAGACAGACGAAAGAGTGATCCGAGACAGACCAGAGAGTGACCAGAGACAGACAAGAGAGTGATCAAAGACAGAACAGGCAGTGATCAGAGACATACCAGATAGTGACCAGATACAGACCAGAGAGTGATCAGAGACGAGACTGACCAGAGAGTGACAAGAGACAGACCATAGAGTAACAAAAGACAGACCAGAGAGCATCGGATACGAACCAGAGAGTGACCAGAGACAGGCCGGAGAGTGACAACAGACAGGCCAGAGAGTCGCTGGATAGTGACCAGAGACAGACCAGACAGTGGCCGGATAGTGTGAAAGAGACAGACCGAAGAGACAGATCAGAGAGTGGCCGGATATCGTTAAAGCAATTAAAAAAAAAAAACATTCAAATACTAAGAAGTCTTTGGAGTAGTTCTCTTTTTTTCCGGCAACAGCCCCCTCTCCCCATTTTTGGCGCCATAATTCACCCCTAGCGCCCCGTAGTCTTCAAACGAAGCTTTTAAATTGAATTGATCAATTAATTTATTTATTGCTTAACACCCGTGACATGTTAAATCAATACTGGTAAGCATTAAGTAGCCTACATATTTATTTCGGTGTAGGCACCCCCCCTTTTTTTAAAAATTTTACACCGAGGGTGGGGGGGGGGGGGTGTTGCGGGGTTGGGCTAAAAATTTGACAAAACAAGCGTACAAAATAGCGCACTATATAAAAATCCCATTTAGTGCCTCTCCCACAACCCCCTCGTCGGGCTCGCAACGGCACAATTTTTCCACGCCCCTGAACTATATTTCTAGTCTAATGAGCCTTCACACCGCAGGAAACAAAATTAACAAAAAAAAAAAAAATATTAAGCACCAAACGCGCTTGGAATATTTTTTGTTAAAGAACCTCTTTTTGCGCAGTTAACGGGAATTTTATTTCATACAATCAGTGTCATCATATGTCCTTCAGCTTCCGCTTGAAAAACGGGAACAACTTATTTTTGGTGGTTGGGACTTGGGGATGGGGCTGAAAATTTGAAAGAATGTTCTGTCATCGGCAGCGAGTCTATGTGCTAAGTTTCAGCTCGATAGGGTGACGGAGAGTGAGTCATGTTTGAGCTGTCCGAAGATTTCGCCAGCCACGAACAAAAGGGAAGTTAATATAAAGGATTTAAAAAAAAATAGTTGGCTAAATGGTGTTCTTGTTTCATTTGTTAAACCTTAATTCATATCAAGTCTTTGCACGAAAGTTGTGTTGGTGGCGGGAGAGGTGGGTAAGGGATTTGAAAAAAAAATCATTTTGACTTTCTGGCGTAGGAAGTCTTCTGCCACATTCGTAAAACCAGTTAATTTTTTTTGTTTTTCAAATAAGTTTATGGTAGGACGTTTGGGTGGGTTCCTACTAACAGTGACTTGGAAGTTCGGGTTCGGTTTCCGTCGTCAGCAGGGTTCGCGCATCTGCAGGGTTTGAGTTCAGGTGTAATCGGTTCGGGTTCAAAGATAAATAACCGGGCAACGAAATGTGTTTTCTTCCGGAAAAGCTGCTTTAGTACGGGAGTAACAGAAAGACGATGGAACCTATTGCTGACCAACCGTTGTGAGACAGATCCTGGTAAGACCTGATGACGGAGTTGCAGGCCGCTATCCCGCACCTGATGAGAAACAAATCCACCCACAGGTAGACCACGATGAACACTCCGTTGACCACGTACTTGAACTTGTCCAGTCTACCAAACGTGTAGTTGTTGTGTCCGAGCAGGCTTAGTGTCAGCCCGACCTGGAAAGTAATAAAATAAAATGACGACTTAACAGTTTAAGATTGCGATAAGCTGGAAGGGGAATTTCCAGACGTCTTGATTCAAATATGCAGTCATGTGACACGTGACGAGCACGTGATGTGGTTTGAGCTGTATGATTATAACTTGTATGATGGTGACCAGAACATAGGAGGGTGTTGAGGTTTTTAGGGGCGGACAGTTTGTTATCAAACTGGTTCGTAACATAAATTATATACTATAAATTATAGTTATATAACTCATTCCCATTTAAGTCACTCATAGACATTTAAATAACGCATGCATACTCCCATAACTAATGCACTTTTACATAACCCATAGCATTTCGAAAAACTCAAAAATATTTACATAATTAATGGAATTTTACATAACCCATAGACAGTTGAATAGCTCATAAATATTTACATCATTGATGGACTTTTACCATCCCATAGACATTTACAAATAAAAAAAAACACTAGGAACAGACTAAATTAATAGTTGATGACGTCATTCTACCCTTTTTTTTTCTCTTCACATTGATAAGCAGCTTTGTGGTACACGAAATCAGATCTTAATTGTATATGTGAGGTTTGATGGCTGTAGTGAGAATGCTCCACGGACAGCGGTGTCTAACAAAACACGTAGCTACAAAAATCCAACAAATAAATGACAATGAGATGCCTCAACATGCTGAACACGTGCTTACTCCTTGTCGCGTCATAGTGCGCCATTGTTGACATATTTGTTTACTTAGCGCGCATGTGTGCATAATTGTGTAACCAACTTAAAATAAATGTGGCTGTCATATGACGCGAAGCTTAACTTCATTCCGAGACCTTCCAATAGTGTTCCCAAACTAGGTCAGATTCCTCCGCATGACGTGCATCATTTGCGTCATAATTTTACATTACACTTTGGCCTGCGGTAAACTACGCCTTCAAAGGTATTTTACAGCAAATAATAATGTTCAGCTTACTGTATTATTTGTCTAATCTGGGGTAATAATTCTTTTCCCCGAAACGTAAGTGTTTAAAAAACTATTGGTCACTGGCATGACTAGTGTTTGAGTGAAATATATTCACGTGTTCATAAAGACAGATTCAGTTGTTTACAAAATAAATGTTCAATTGTTTATTAAAGACACATAGTTAGTTGTTTATAAAGACAAATATTTAGGTCTTTATAGAAACAAATATTAATTTTTATAACGAAAAATAATCAGATTGTTAATAGAGACAAAAATTGAGTTGTTTACAGGTACTACTGACAGACAGGTAATGCTTGGAATAATGCGTCATCTTTTCTAAGGTGTCTGTACCAACGGCCCCTGCACCAACGGCCCCTGCACCACATCACCATTGTTTTCAGGTGACTACACTTTGTTTCACATCACTTGATATCACCATTGCTGTAAATTGGCCACACTTGGCCCCACGTCACCATTGTCATAAGATGGCCAAATTTGGCTAAACGTCCCTATTTTCATAAGATGGCCACACTTGGCCCCCACGTCAACATTGTCATAAGATGGCCAAATTTGTCTACATGTCACTATTTTCATAAGATGGCCACACTTGGCCCCCACATCACCATTGTCATCAGATGGCCACACTTGGCCCCCACATCACCATTATCATAAGGTGGTCACACTTGGCCACATGTCACCATTTTCATTTGATGGCCACACTTGGCCACACATCACCATTGTCATAAGATGGCCACACATCATAATTGTCATAAGATGGCCACACATCACCATTGTCATAAGATGGCCACACATCACCATTGTCATAAGATGACCACACATCACCATTGTCATAAGATGGCCACACATCATCATTGTCATAAGATGGCCACATGTCACCATTGTCATAAGATGGCCACGCATCATCATTGTCATAAGATGGCCACACATCACCATTGTCATAAGATGGCCACACATCATCATTGTCATAAGATGGCCACACATCATCATTGTCATAAGATGGCCACACATCATCATTGTCATAAGATGGCTCCACATCACCATTGTCATAAGATGGCTCCACATCACCATTGTCATAAGATGGCCACACATCACCATTGTCATAAGGTGGCCACACTTGGCGTCAATATTATCCCGGAGAAAGCAATAACTACGGTGATATGACTACGGTGTCCTGACTAACTCGTTGAGTATGTTGAATTAGGTGTTACAATATATGCACGTGACATAAATAAAAGGTTAAATAATTGGTAAGTTGTTTGTGTCTGAGTGTTTGCGTCAAAAAATGTGGGTGTGGTTGTGGCGATTGGGGTTGAGGGTTGTGGCGATTGGGGTTGAGGGTTGTGGCGATGGGGGTTGGGGTTAGGAAAGTGTCGAAGTGGGGGTGGTCGTGGGGGATGTGTGTTGGTGTAGCCGTGGGGGTGAGGAAGCCTATGGAGGGGGTGTGGGGGATGTGGTGAAAGTGGCAGTGGGGTGAGTGTGGATGTGGGGGTTGGGAGTGGGCGTGGGATGAAGATTCTGAGTGAGGGTGTGTGTGGTGTGTGAGTGGCCGTAGAGGTGGGGCTAGCAGTGAGCGTGGGGCTGTGGGAACGAGTTGAGACTGTGTTACTTCTTAACTGTAATGTCCTTGAGGTCTCTCCTCATTTTAAATTTCGAATGTGACTCTAACGCGGAGTTTCCAACGAGGTATATGGTGTATCCCTTTATCATACACTTATGGTGTATGGGCCCACCTCATCATGTCACCTATGATGAATGATTTCAACTCATCATGACACATAGACTGTATAGGTCACATCATCGCATGTTGTGTATGAGTTGCATCATAATCACAAATGGCGTATGTGGTCAAAGCATCATGTAACATATGGTGTATGGGTAACATCATCATGTCACACATGATGTAAGAGAGGCATGGGGTCACTTCAACTCTTATAGTATTTTTTTCCCTCAAAAACACATGTTGAACTCTTTTGACACAGTACGTAAGATCCTGAGGTGTAGAACATATATGTTTAAGCGAAACAAGAAGCTAATTGTTACAAAAATCTGTAACATATTAAACGTTAACAATCCTCTGTTACTTATCGCCAGGAACGAATGACCAACCTGTTTTTCAGCCAGCCACAGCATAAAGAAACCAACAATGACTAGAGGGAACAACAGCGTCGGCTTACAAGCCACGTCCCATATCTCCTGCTGCCACAGTCGTAGCTTCTTTTTGAAACTGGCCATCTGGTACGTGTCCCTCGGCTACCCGGCGTCTGTAGGACGTGTTCCCGGCGTCAGTAGGACGAGTTCCTGGCGTCAGTAGGACGAGTTCCTGGCGTCAGTAGGACGAGTTCCTGGCGTCAGTAGGACGAGTTCCTGGCGTCAGTAGGACGAGTTCCTGGCGTCAGCGGGACGAGTTCCTGGCGTCAGTAGGACGAGTTCCTGGCGTCAGTAGGACGAGTTCCTGCCGTCAGTGGGACGTGTTCCAGACGTCAGCAGCACGTGTGCCTGGCTTCAGTCGGATGTTCTTGGCGTCAGTAGGCTGTGTTCTTGGCGTCAGTAGGCTGTGTTCTTGGCGTCAGTAGGCTATTTTCCTGGCGTCAGTCGGCTGTGTAAGGAAGCGTATTTAACAATGTACGCAAATGAATACAACATGTTTCATTTCAAGAGGGAAAAGATCATTCTTTATATGGGCTCTAATGATGTGACAAATTATATATCATTCTCAAATCATGCCACACACATAGAAACAGCTAATTGATGATTTGTACAGGTTTGTATTGGTTGATCTCATAGGTTCCTATGCTTTTTATTTTTTATTCGCCTCCCTTGTATGGAAGCTCTATGAAACGGGACCCTACTTTAACAAAGCAAAGTAAACTTTAAATAAAAACTGCATAATTCGAACATGTGTCAGTTAAGTGTAAAGTCGCATAAATATCTGCACTAGTTTGAACAAGTGTGTTCATAATGAGTTTATGGCCTCTATTGTTTAAGTATACTTATCGTAACATGTTTTTTTTGTGTGTCAAATATGAACATTACTGAATCAATATGTTCATAAAAAAAGCATAAATACATTCATCGTGGGCCCTCAAAATATAGAAGAAGAAGAAAACCAACCTACCTTCACAGTCCATTTGAATTCCAGTCAGGCTTCTCCATTAAAAAAAATTAACATTTGAACTTGCGGGATGTGTGTAGGTTTATTCCTTTCTGTTTTCAATCAACACATCGTCATCGTTGTGCGTCCATTCTCCGGGCACAGTTCATTCAATACAAAGGTTTACGATAAATTAAGCTGAGTAACTTGACGTCACTTCCTCTAATGAAAGGAGTTCAATAGACATGACGCCATCCGTTCGTGGGATACCCATTTTTTAGAGATTTTGTAGCATTTACATATTTTGTTTCTTAAAAATTTTTTTTCTTTGAGTCTTCATTTATTTCCAAGTTTTTAATAGTACCGCTGCAAACTTATTTTAGCGGAAGTAAAACGCAGCCCTTGAATTTGTAAATCATTGTTTTTCAAAAATTAAAAAAAATCTGCGGGTCGGTGGAAATAAGAAAAAAAAATAATATTTTTATTATGTTATGATACCTAAAGTGAACATTTTAATTACAATATTTTTTTTACAACATAACAAAAAATAATTGTAAACACAATGACCTTTTTGAAATGAAATATCCGGAATGGGTGCTCAGCTGGCTCCTCTGAAAGGCAGCGATGCTCGGATCACTCACCACGAGCGGACAATTTAATAGTTTTCACCGAGGATACCTTAGTCGCATTACACACTTCCGATTGCAGGACAACGTGCCTACTGCCGAGGTTCTAGAGCGTGCCGAATTTGGGACGTCTTAGTGAGAAACGGTTTCGCTGGCCACGCAATGTCAAGGTCATGGACACATGGGTCACAGTCTCAAGGACCTGCCTAAACCGGGAACGAGCAGAGGTTGGGGGGGGGGAGGCAAGACAAATCGGACGGCCGTGTAAGATTGCAGATGACCGCCGGTGAACATCGGTGAAAATGTGCGTCTTATGGAAAGGCCGAAGAAAACCACCCGTCAAGGTTTCTCCTAGGAAAAGTGGGGCCGAGACTTCCACTCCAGGGTCGGTCTGATGAGTCGCTCGTGGAGCTTTCAATAAGAAAAGAAGAAGCTGGACCATCATCTCCTGAAGATAGAAGGACGCCAACGACTTTGTTGGTTTGTGGAATCACGTTAAAGTGCTCATGTATCTGATGTGTGGGATTTCGCTAAAGTGCTCATGCATCTGATGTGTGGGACGCCGCTGAGCTGTTGTCGTCTCTAATCACATTAGTCTCTAATCTTTCAAAATACGCTGGGCTCTCAAATGGCCGATTATGTGAAAGTGTGTCGTGAAATTTATAATCAAATGTGATATTATAATGTTTATTTAAATAAAGTGCGTTTTGACACATTTGGGAAAAAATGGTGGGTGGGGGGTAGTTAAAAAGTTTTTATTTTGGACCACTCAAGATATTTCACTGCATACAATTCAAAGCTCTTGTAAGTATGCCTGGGGCTTTGATTCCCTCACCCCCCACCCCCACCCAAAAATGACCTAGGTGCACAAATAATTATCCCTCCCCCATTCATTATTGTGCATAAACAATAGCAGTCTGCGGAGAGAGTACAACTTCAAGGTGCGTATTAATAAAGTTATAAATAGATTATGACGTCGAGAAATGTGTGCTTCTCTTTGGTTTACAAAAATCAGTGAGCGGTTCTCATAATTCTTTTACTTTAATGAATATATAATCCCTATAAAGGGGAACCGTCTTTTTTTTAACTTTAACAGAACAATATGGACAATGAAGGCTGTGTTAGAGTCTGGTGAACCTAAAGTTATTTGCATTTGGTCAGTCGGTGAACAAATTTATCAATTTAAATTACGTTTTAACCACAGCCTTGCTTGAGAATCACTCCATGACCACCCCAACCCCCAACTTACATCAAAATTGTATAGATTATATTTAATTGTAGCTATGCTTCATACCATATCTACTACTACAACTTCACTAACAAATGTCATTAATTAGAACTGCCCTTAGGTATAAGTACAACGTCTAGGTGTTTCAACGTTCGGTACTTTTGTGACGCTACTTACACAAACACTACCTTAAAAAAAATAAAATCGATTGAAACTTCCATATCTGTTTCACTTGTGAATCTGTGAATCTTTATCTTTGCCACAATCAGGGGATCCTTGAGACCAGCCAGGAAAGGTTTTATTTGGATATAATGCCGTATAACATTACAGCAGTCGATCAAGTTTGGTGTTCTTCATAATACAGCTGAATATGTCACATCAGGGGCCATGGGGTTCACAATAGATAACAGATTTTATAGTGATTTGATAGCCCACAAGGCGACGTGAACAGTCAGTGGCTGTTATTAGTATCCGTCTTTTTTGTTTATTCTCTGTATTCATTTAGTTGCGTTTTGTTGTATAACCGTTAATAGAGGATATGGTTTTCTTGAATAACTTTGTATAGAGTTCGTGCCGTTCTGTTGAATAGCTTTGTATAGAGTTCGTGCGGGTTCACTGCATCTATTTGTTTAGAGTAAGCGTGTGCTTGTTGATATTATTTCACTGATGTTGTTTTTTGCTTCAGAAAACTTGAAAGTGAATTCTCCGCACAGGTCACTTAATTAGATCACATATAAAGGTACGGTGTTCAACATATGATAGGAGTTGTATTTTTTCCTGTAAATCAAATAATTAAAACTTTTATAATTTCAAGTCAGGATCTTTGTAATGGCCTGTATAATTAACAACTTATTTTGTATTAGTTCCGTTGAATGTTTAGTCTTGTTGCAAATTATTAAGGAACAAAAAAATGTAGATGCATTTAACGCATGCAACAAAAATAATTATACATTATATCAACTGTGGTCATTTTTTTAAAAAGCAAGAAATTTTATACGGTCCGATAATACGTTGAAACTAATTTTCAAAAGACTTATTTTAAAATGTAAGAGAGACTTCTGTTGTTGTTTTTTTTTTTTTTTTTTTTTAACTGAAAATTCCACTGTTTCAAGTTGGCATCGAAGTAAGGTTTTAACGTGACTTTTTTAAGCTAAATGTTGCAGATAGCTGTCTCGCGTTCTTTACGGTGCTACCATTTCTAAAAGCAAGAAATTTTATACGGTCCGATAATACGTTGAAACTAATTTTCAAAAGACTTATTTTAAAATGTAAGAGAGACTTCTGTTGTTGTTTTTTTTTTTTTTTGTTTGTAACTGAAAATTCCACTGTTTCAAGTTGGCATCGAAGTAAGGTTTTAACGTGACTTTGTGAAGCTAAATGTTGCAGATAGCTGTCTCGCGATCTTTACGGTGCTACCATTTCGAACGTTATCATTATCTGCACAAGTTATCTGCGCAAGTTATCCGTAGAAGTTATCTGTAGAAGTTATCTGTAGAGGTTATCTGTAGAAGTTATCTGTAGAAGTTATCTGTAGAAGTTATCTGTAGAAGTTATCTGTAGAAGTTATCTGTAGAAGTTATCTGTAGAAGCTATTTCAGCGCAGCTGTGAACGTAGACACGACAGAGCCAGGCCCCAGAGCAAATGTCTCACAGAGTAAGTCTCTCCGAGCCACCAGAAACAGACCTGGAGTACTATGCCAAACCTGAGAACTATACCGGAAGTAGCCTACATTCAATGACACGGTGAGTGCAGCCACCAGACCAGTGTTGTTTTTTTTTACAACAGGATAAAGTAAAATGTAAAATGTCAGTTGTAACATGTAGAATGTAATCTGCTAAATTTAATATGTAACATGTAATATATAAATTGTAATACGTATAATGTAATGTATCAAATGTAATATGTAAAAAGTATTATGTTAAATTTAATACGTAAAATTTTATATGTAAAATGTAATATCTTCAAAGATTGTAGGTAGTTGTAACATAAAAGATTTTAAGTAAAATGGGCAGCAAAATCACTGAGAGTCAATTTTCATATCTCATTTGAGCGATAGAAATAACCCTTAACACTATAAAAGTGCATGCATTGGACCACACAAAAAAAAACCCGAAAATTTTTTTTGGATGAACAGCGCATTTCAAAAATTAATTCATCCAACACTTGCTGATAATGCAATAAAATCTGTAATTGTAACAGCTTTTTGTAGCATGGCAATTTTGAAAGTTTTAAGAGTTCCTCTATTTGTTTCATGAAGACTGAACTATAGTATAAGAGTGTTGGACAACGATAAAGCTTTTAAATAGATTAATTAGACACGAACAATTTGTGCCAATAAAACAATATATGGTAAACTTTAACTAGCATCTCCCTAAGGCTCTTGTCTCCCTAAGGCTCTTGTCTCCCTAAGGCTCTTGTCTCCCCAGAAAGCGAAGAGAGAAGGTTCTGACTGAGATTTTTAGAAAACCTCCTCTTTTCGCTTTCCAGAGGGACGAGAGCTTAGGGAAATGCTAGTTAGAAGCCACCTCCCTGCTATTAAAGCACTTAGAGAGACCAAAAGTTGCAACTGTAGCCGTTGAAATACTTGTCCCCACGTGATTTATGTTGATAAGATTAGTTTCCCTCTGGAAATATTCAGAATAAAAGATGGCTTAACCTGCACAAGTCGCAACGTGATTTACACCATCCTTTGAAAAAGAAAAAATGCGGTAAATTATACGTAGGAGAGACAGGCCTTCGCCTTGGAGACCGGTTTAGAGAACACCTCCATACATAAATAAACAATCTCACTGTCCGGTCTTCAAACATTTCAATAGCACTAACCATGATGTAATTTTCGCCACCGCAGTTAATGGTATACTGTATGCTACTAACACAAAGGATATAATCAATATGGAGAATTAATTAATAACAAGATTTGTTACGTTGACTCCATACGAGATAAACAAAAATCCACAATTTTACGTAGCTGCCATGTCTTTTTTTTCCATTTTTTTTTTTTTTTTTCTTTTTTTTTTAAATCACTTCCTTTCCATTTTTCTTTTTTTTTTTTTTGTTTTGTTTTTGCGCCCACTCTTTTTTTTTCTTTATTTTTTTTTTAATCAATATGGAGAATTAATTAATAACAAGATTTGTTACGTTGACTCCATACGAGATAAACAAAAATTCACAATTTTACGTAGCTGCCATGTCTTTTTTTTCCATTTTTTTTTTTTTTTTACATTTTACTTCAAATCACTTCCTTTCCATTCTTCTTTATTTTGTTTCTGTCTGGTTTTTGCGCCCACTCTTATTTTTTCTATATTTTTTTTTAGATAGGATATATGTATACATTTATTATTTACATTTAATTTATATTTATTTAAATGTTTTGTTGTCATACTGATGAAGGCGTGTGCCGAAACGCTTCTTTGTGTATTACGTAAAATTATCATTGACGCTTACCATATATTGTTATATGGACACAAATGGTTCGTGTCTAATTATTCAGACTGACCCATAACTGACGTAATAAAGCCAAGAGTATGCTACTTACGAATACGTATTAAAAACGCAATCTGCGTTACTTGTATTTTAAAACATTCACACAGGTAACGCACTTTATGAAACTCCCTATTAGTGCGCCCCTCTCAAGGCTCACAACCGCACAATTTCTTTACGAACCTGAACTATATTAATATTCTAATGGCCCACCCCCTTTTACACTGCTGATTTATTTCACCAAAAATTTTACAAAAACAAAAGAAAATATTATGCACCAGACGAAAAATTAAAAAAAAAAAAAGAATCTAATTTAGCGCAATTATCTGGAATTTTATTTTATCGTACCCTTGAAAAACAGGAACAACTGAATTTGGGGTTTGGGGTGGGGCTGAAAATGTTTAAAGAATGTGTTCTCGGTGGCAACGAGTCTATGTGCCAAGTTTCAGCTGGATAGCTTGAAAGGAAGTGGGTCGATTAGCCATCCGAATATTATTTCCACCCCGCCACGAACAAAAGCGAAGTTAATATAAAGGATTTAAAAACACGATACAATGCCAGGGCAATAGACACATTTTGTTTACTTATCACAGCCCGGCCCCGACTTTTTACAGATTCATAGCCAGGTTGTGACACAGTGACTTAATTATTAATACATATCAAATAAGAAAAGGTAATATATTTATATTTAATTTAATAACTTAACTGTTTCATTACACAACATATAACAAAGATATAAATCTGATGCAACACACATTAAAGACTGTTTGAATGCAACATAATAGATCACACATTAAAAAATGTCTAAAAACGACATAATAGATCAAACATTAAACACTGTCTGAACACAACATAATAAATCACACATTAAACAATGTCTGAACACAACATAATAGATCACACATTAAACACTGTCTGAACACAACATAATAGATCACACATTAAACAATGTCTGAACACAACATAATATATCACACATTAAACGCTGTCTGAACACAACATAATAGATCACACAATAAACACTGTCTGAACACAACATAATAGATCACACATTAAACACTGTCTGAACACAACATAATAGATCACACATTAAACACTGTCTGAACACAACATAATAGATCACACATTAAAAACTGTCTGAACACAACATAATAGATCACACATTAAACACTGTCTGAACACAACATAATAAATCACAAATTTAACACTGTCTGAACACAACATAAAAGAACACACATTTAACACTGTCTGAACACAACATAAAAGAACACACATTTAACACACTTCATCGCTACAAGTTTTATATTTCAACCTCAACATTTTACACGATGCTAATTATTGACATCCCCCTTCCCCCCATTTCATGGGCGCGGAACTGAATGGGTCATTGATTGATTGCCTGACGATACACTAACAGCTACTTCAAACAAATCACGGTTCCATTGAAGCGGCACGCGCTCCAGGGGGGCATGTGCATAAGAGTTTTTTTGTTTTTTTTAAAAAGGGCTTTTAAGTACCGTAATTAAAATAGAAACGAGGTGAAATAAGTATGTTTGAGTTTAAAAAAAATTGTCAATTTTGTTTTTGTGGGTTTTCTAGGAAACACACACACATTTTCTTGAAGAAAATGAATAAAAGTTGAAACAGAGACGCTTTGAAATTAAATCAAATATTTTTATATTGTTAAAAATTGTAAGACATAAAGTAAGTGGTGGAGCATCAGTACATAAACGAGTAAAATAATGAACTACTGCAATGTACAGGCTACAACACGAACCTAATACATCCGTTACTCACCCGTCAAAACATTCCTATAATTGTATCTTAATATTCAGCTTTATCGGTACTCTTTAAGTTATTTTAAAATACTAAAATAATATATATATATATAAATTATATTATATCCCGCTACCCTGGTATGCTTAAGGGCCAGTTACTCAGCTAGAACTGTTAGACAGTACCTGTGTTAGAACTGTTAGACAGTACCTGTGTTAGAACTGTTAGACAGTACCTGTGTTAGACAGTACCTGTGTTAGAACTGTTAGACAGTACCTGTGTTAGAACTGTTAGACAGTACCTGTGTTAGAACTGTTAGACAGTACCTGTGTTAGAACTGTTAGACAGTACCTGTGTTAGAACTGTTAGAAATTACCTGTGTTAGAACTGTTAGACAGTACCTATGTTAGACAGGCTTCATTTTTTTTTTCCGTTTCTTTCGTGCACTTCGTTAAGTTCCTTTGGCAGAAGAGTGAAAGTTCTTTCATGTAAGAATTATCTTGCCTAAATTATTGTGAAGATCGAATTAAACTCAATTTCATTAACATTATAAGAAGTGATTATTTCAGAAATTTCCCCCCGGGGGGGGGGACACTTCAGATTTTTTTTTTGGGGGGGGGGGCAGTGCCGGCAGTGCCAGTAGATTTATTGTTGGACATATTTTTGCTCCGTGGAGCACTTGGCTTTCCCCCGGGGGGGGGGGGGTGATCCCCCCCCGGGGATATAACTGAAAGAGACCCTGATTATAAAACTCGTAACAGGTCTTTATACATTTGTCTACTCAACAGTTTTATGATTGCAAAAAGCAGAGAGAACTCTCACATAAAAAGACCATCCAAGAAAAGGAAGAAGCTCAGTGACAAGGCCATTTTGTATCAAAGATACCACCACATACTGCCGGCTGAATTCTACAATCCCTCATCCCGCAGCCTGTCAGAGTGTGAGTCGGATGGCGAACAGACTAGTCCAGCTTTAGAGAGCACCAACTTCTCTTTCAGCACCACAAACAGTCTGTATTCTTCTAGAAACGGTTGTTATATAAGTGAAAAAAAATCTCTGGCCGGTCGGATCTGCAGTCAAGATGGAAGTACTTTACAAGTTCTTAAAAATTCGGACCAGCACCAAGGAACACTTACTATCTTACCTATTAATGAAATAGCCAAACGTTTAGAGATTTTGGATAGGAGAACGGACAATACTCAAGACAGACCTTTCTCATCATTTGAACATTTTCAGAAGAATGATAGGGTATTGCAACGAAAAGGTACATTGAATGAACAAAATTTCCATATATATATATTTAAAACGGTCTCATTTATCAGTTACTACACGTGAGAACAGATGAGTACCTGGGAAAATGTGTCATATATGAAAGTAGTAGCGGTATCACACCATCTCCAACTATAGTCCACTAGTCTCTAATCATCTCTTTGCTGACCTAATTATTCTTTTTCTACATTCTCAATTTTCTCTTCCTCTTTCTGTTTCATCATACGTTCTTCTTCTACATCGTCTCATTTTCTTGATTTATTTCTCTCCATCTTCTATCACATGTGGATGTTAAAAAAAACCTGTGATTCGATGTGATTCGATGTGATTCGATGTCATTGGGTTGAAATATGAAATGAACGAAACACCAGGCCGATATTTCCTGTGTGTTTAACCACAACACCATTTGCTTCCAATAAACATGAAAACAGCTAATTATTTTAACCGTTTATAAAGTAGCATTTCATTTGTTCTTTGATGCATGCCTACTAATTTGTCTTTTAAAAGGGAATAAAATAATTTACAATTTCCGTCAGAGGAAATTCAGGTCTGAAATATTTGAAGATTATTAATAATTTTTATTACCAGTTTTAAATATGAATTCTTTAGTTTTCATCCAAAAAACTGAAACAGATCCACAACCTTCAATGTTCTATGTCCCCAGCTTTCAATGTTCCATTCAAAAAACTTTCATTATTCCATATAAATAGCTTTCAATGTTCCATAAAAAAACAATTTAAATGTCCAATATCCACAACTTTCAATGTTCCATATTCACAACTTTCAACGTTACTTATCCATAGTTGTCAAAGTTCCATATGAACAACTTTCAATGTTCCATATCCACAACCTTCAACGTTACTTATCCATAATTGTCAAAGTTCCATATGAACAACTTTCAATGTTCCATATCCACAACTTTCAACGTTACTTATCCATAATTGTCAAAGTTCCATATGAACAACTTTCAATATTTCATTTACAAAAATCAATGTTCCATATCCGCAATCTCCAATGTTCCATAAACAAAACCTTCAATCTTACTTATCCACAACTTTCAAAGTGTCCATATCAAAGAGTGTTAATGTTCTATATCCTCCCCCCCCCCCCCCCCCCCCCACAGAGTGACTTGACATTTCTCGCGTGTTGGAGATCCATTACTTACTAGTTGTTACTGCTAACCTTTCTACCACCAGATTCTACTGGACCTCCTCCATCTCTCAGGTCCAAATCTGCACTGCCCACATGGGGACGAAGAGGGAGTCTTGTGTCGGCAAGTGACGGCTTGGGCAAAGGCAAGCTGGTCTACACGCCCAGTGATCCTCAACGTAAAGCGGTGAGCCCTAAACAACGTTATATGATCTTTGTCACCATATCCATGGATATTGATATTTTGGGGTGCCTTTATTTTATCTATAAAACACTCATCGGCAGACATCGCTGGGGTGAAGAGAAAAAGAAAACAATTGAAAATGTTTACATTCACTGAAGGCCCCACCAAAAAATCGATCGTCTATTATATACATTCTCCTTTAAATAATGGTAGTTAATGACAATAATATAAGCCCAAACTCTACAACTTGAGAATAGTTTTATATTTCTAGGAATTTTCTTATTTGTCTTTGTTTCTTTGTTTGCTATCTTTCCTCTTTTTTATGGAGCAGGTGGTCATACCAACTTTGTCTTTTTTTCTATCTACAACACGGAAACTATTGGGTATCGATACTTATGGCTAGAGACACTTTACACAGTGACATTTTGTTGACAAATTCCCCAAGCCTTAGCTCCCATTCTTTACACAGTGACTGGCGTCCCATCCATGTGAGAACCTTTTGTCAACGTTTCGTCAAAATTTTTTTTTTTTTAACGTGTAAGAAATCCATTTATTGAATGCCTCTACCAAGGATAAATATATTTTCTCCGCGTTATAAATAACATCTATCAGGGGCGTGTACTCTAGTCGTGTTTACAGCAGAACATTTTTGGTAAAAAGCTTAGATTGCGTACCTCGTTTGAAGATACTGATCTTCCACCGAGCGCCTCCCCAGGTGGCGGTAGGTGAAAGCCCTCCAAATATGTGAAAGATTATGCGCTTTGCGTATGCGAGGGAAAATGTTCAACATAGCATTTATAAATGTTCATGATCCCATCGAAGATACGGAAGGTCACATAAAAGAATCCTTTCATGAGATGCTGGAAAAGATCTGTGACGAGGCAACAAAACATCAAATTAAATTAGTGATTGGAGACTTCAATGCCAAAATAAGGAAAGAACAATTATTTATGCCAACTATTGGCAAGGAGGGTCCACTTAAAGAATTCAATGAAAATGGGATCCGACTCAAAGACTTCGCTTCAGGAAAAAGGACGTCAGTTCGCAGCACCAAGTTTCAACCCAAAAAAATATACATAAAGTCATAAAGTTACTTGAAACTCATCAGATGGAGTCATTCGTAACCGAATTGACCATATTTTAATCGATTGGAGGCTTGGATCAGATATATTACATGTAAGAAGGAATTGAGGAACAGGTGCATGCTCTGATCAACTACTTGTTAGGGTTAGATATAAACACAGAGTATGCGCAATACAATGGCCAAGATCAAAACTAAAAACGATATGATCATCAAGATCTGACCAAAGACCGACTCAAAGGAATTCTCTATATGAGACTCTACGGGTTGTTTTGCATAGACAACAAACTGACACGACTGATACATGTGACATTGAACAACTCAAAAATCAAAATCATGTTTGAAGTGATTATCCAAGGTAATTTCCGATTAGATGAAGGCTAAGACAAGAAGATTCACTGCCTTGTGTGCATTGAAGTGAGTTATAAGAAGCACATTATACTTTCTGAGTGTAGTTAAGACATACAAAAACCTTTAATTGAATTACATCACTACAAGCAGAACTGGAAGTTAAAAAAAAAATACAGACAAAAGAAAACCATTAAAATTAGAAAACACACTTTTGAAAAAGTAAATCAAATCAAAAACCAGTGATCCTTAATAAATGAAAGAAATGATTTATTAACAGAAATAAAAGAAAGATGATCAGCCGGATGCCGTACATCCTTCAGCAGTCACAAAATACCGAAAAGTAAAATCACTACAAGACGAACAAAGAAAACTTTATATAAATTAACGTATGTGAAACATGGACCCTAACAAAAACAGCAGAAAATCTATTAAGCACGTTATAGAGAAAAGGTTCTTCAAAAAACGGACCATCAAAGGATGAATATGGATGGAGAGTACAAACCGACCAGGAATTGTATAGACTATATTATCAGGATCCCATGATAGAAGTAGAGATAAAACAAACGGGGAGGCTACGCTAGGCTGCACACTTTGAAAGAATGCCCAATGGCAGAGGGGTGAAGAGGGTGCACCACCAAAACTTCAAACGAAAACAGTTCAAGGCAGACTTAGGCTTAGATGGATGGATGATGTGGAAAAAGATGTACAGATGCTGGGAATCCAAGAATGGAAAAGAAAAGCATTAGTTAGCTCTGAGCGGAAGGAAGTGGTGAGTCACGCTAAATTCCTACAGGGGGTGTAGGGTAGGGCCACCGGAATGTATAAATAATTAAATTGTATACATTTCAATGAGATAATTTTGACCAAACATTGGCAGATTTTCAGAACCAAGTTGAGCCGTTATGTGCCGTGTCATCTTGAGAATTAAAAATATTTTTTATTTCACATTTCTTTGCATAGTATTTGAATATAGATTTAGTTTTCGTTTCATTTCGTTGCACCATTTCCCACCGACGTCCAAAATGTCGACCATAGAGTATCGACGTCTTGAAGAAATCAAGGCTAACGCTGCGACTAATTACCATCAACTAACTTGAGTTTTGTTAAGGTTTGTCTACATGCATTATTGATTATATCGTTATTTCTTTAGTCGACCAAAGTAATCTATTGACATCATAATCGAAAATTAATTGCCGCCATTATCACGCGACCATAAACGTGATTGCCTTTAACGGAAGTCTGCACCAAAACACAGTGAAATCGACCCGACTGCTAGAATCATTGCTGTTTACTTTAACTCAGAAGCCTGTGGAGAGATTGAAATGTAGAGACTTGTTGAACGAATTTTTTGTACTAAAATTTCTTGCACATGAAAACTAACAAATAAATGTGTATGAAGGGTTTTGACCTAGTTCAACGCCAAGAATTTAAGATACATTCAATAAAATGAAATTGACCAAGGAAAGGATCATGAATCAAGAGCAGCACACTAATTATTTCTTAAGAGTTTTCTGAGTTATTTCAAATTTGTATTTTGAGTTCCCCTCGGGCGGAGATACTGTTCTTCCACCGAGCGCCTCCCCAGGTGGTGGTGGATAGGGGAAAGCCCACCAGATATGGCGAGTACTGGGGAAATAAAATACCCGGGGAGGACCGCAATCAGAATCGACATGGGCTGTAGCGCCACAGTGGTGGATGGAGTTTGATGTTACCACCAGGCTCATTAAACATGTCAAAATGTTTAATGTTTTTCCTTTTCGACTGAAACAAAGGAAGGAATCAATAACAAAAAAAGTTTGAAAGCAACAATAACCTGACTGCAACTCACAACAAATAATGAGATAACATGGCTCAGACTCACAACAAATAATGATATAACCTGGCTCAGACTCACAACAAATAATGATATAACCTGGCTCAGACTCACAAACAATAATGGGATAACCTGGCTCAGACTACCAACAAATAATGAGATAACGTGGCTGAAAAATCACAACAAAGAATGAAATTTAAGGAAATAAAAAAAAAAAAAAACTAAATTCTATATAAAAAATCTTTGTTATATCTGTCGGTCACAACTCAAGTAATAATCTTGTCAGTCGGGTCATGCTCAACACACCCGAGGATCCCTGCCATTTATTATTCCGAATCTGATATCGACCCGTCCATAAGTGGGAGGGAAAGGCTTATCAATCATAAATTCAGCTCTGTTCAACAAGGACCGTAACGTTATTTTAACCTGTACCAGCAGAACACCCGTTGGACGTGAGCTGTTTACTTTTGGAGATTAACGGGCGCAAATATTGGGGGGCTTGCCTGCACTTTGATACTTTTGGTCATAGTTGATATTTGAGATTACAGATCAAACAAGTTCTGGGGGGGGGGTTCTTAGCCCGTGGAAAAAATCATTGGATGACTTTCACTGCGGAGTTATGGAGAAGTTGATGTTTTTTTTCTCGAAGTTATTTGATATTTGAGATTACAGATCAAACAAGTTCTGGGGGGGGGGGGGTTCTTAGCCCGTGGAAAAAATCATTGGATGACTTTCACTGCGGGGTTATGGGGAAGTTGATGTTTTTTTTCTCGAAGTTATTCCAAATGTGGCTTAAACATAGCTTAAAAACTCCACTGACTTTGTTACGCGTGTTAGTGTGTTGCTGGCTGGTGGGATTGACTGCAGGGTCATTGGGTACAGTCCAAAATCCTAAGGGTATAATACATCAAGAACTTAGTTGATTTCAAACCGAAACATATCTGGGGAGGTTTATACCAGTGTCATAATTTTTTTTTCGGGTCTCTTTCATGATATTGCCCCCCGTTGAGGGGGCAACAAGGGGCGATACTATTTATTTAATTTGCTTCTGTTCTGTATCGCGACAGTTCAAATCCCCACTCCCACCTCCTTTCATATGTATTAAATAAAACTTTCACCTCCAAACGCCCTTTTCTAGAATGTTAAGCCCCCTAAAAATATTCCCGATGAAGTCACCAGCAATATACATTGTGCGGTGGGAAACTCTAATGTTTGCCTAACACATGTTTTCGCAATTTTAACCCATTCCCCCATCCCACAAAAAAAAAAAAAAATACTTTCTGTGTAAAGTCTTTACAGACACGCGACAAAGTCTGCACACATTATCAATGATGAGTTTCGATGGTGCTAAGGCTCACACACAAACACACGATCAATAGAGACTTTTAGCGTTTCTTAAAAGCCCGACAAAGGAAGAAATTAACTTTTTTTTTTTCAATGTCGTACCTCTTCTTCATTTGAGAACCCTTGGGAGGATCAGCCGATCTGAGCGTAGGAGTGAAGAACAAAATATTGACTGAAGAGAATTAGTTAAAAGCAGGGTTGTTAAAAAATATTTCGATTTCTACTTTTATAAAAAAAAAAGGGATTTCGGTTTTTTACAAATGATTTGAACGGTCTGCACAATAAGTTAATATTTTGACAAAAGTTTGCGAAGTGAATTTGGTACAAGTAAGATACATTCTCTTATTGAGCATTGGACAAAAACCGTTTCCTTATCTCCTTCTATTTTTGGCTTGATCTAATCGCAACGTATAATTTGTTTCGTTAAAGTAATCATTGTAAGTTTTTTTTGTTTTTTTGTTTTTTTTGTAACCACTTCGACTAAACCAACAAATAGATATTGAAAAAAATGACACTGATCCTCGCCTAGCATGAGTCAGGTATATCTTAGTGGGGTTGATACAGACGGGTTCTTTCTGTTGCAATCAAGGTTGGGCTGCGATAAAAATACACTGTCAACAATTTAATCTTTTTTTTTTTTTTGTGTACATTAAAAGACACTTTACGTGAAGTAGTATTCAGAGGCGTAGTTAAGGTGAGTGTCGCCCGGTGCGGTAAAATCATGGAGTCACCCCCCCCCCCCGACTTCCACGATGTATTTCTTCTTGTTAAAAGAAATCCACATTATAACAATGACAAGAAAAAAAAATTAATTAATTGAAGGTCAGGAGGTAAATGTATATAAGAACTGTAACATGTACTTAGAGTCGCCCTACCATATTCGTATTTGGTATCAATGGAAAGCTTTTTTCTTTCTAAGAATTTAGATAAATATAGCTTCCTGTCTCTTACGAAAGTTACGGAAAACTTCAATCGGCGATGAACTATGGTCAAAAACGGTGTTTTTGATGACCTTATTATAAGGTCACCTGATTTCTAATGCAAAAACCTTGAACTTTTAATAAAGCGCGCATTCGGATTGGTTGCTGGTGTCTAGAATTAACGTGGCATCGGTTATCTTTTCATAAAATTCGGTTAGACCAAGGGTCTCCAAACTACGGCCCGCGGGGCCCTCTAATGCGGCCCGCGAAGACCTTTTTGTCTACGGAAAAAAATACGGAATTGAATGTGTATCCTGCCAAGATAAGCCCCCCCCCCCCACTTTCGTGCACTGGATTGGGTGCTGGTGTTTAGAATTTACGGTGCATCGGTTATCTTTTCATAAAATTCGGTTAGACCAAGGGGCTCCAAACTACGGCCCGCGGGGCCCTCTAATGCGGCCCGCGAAGACCTTTTTGTCTACGGAAAAAAATACGGAATTGAATGTGTATCCTGCCAAGATAAGCCCCCCCCCCCCACTTTCGTGCACGCTATGTTTTTACTGAATTGAAATAGAGGCGCGTTCATGTGTGGTGTCAATGTGTTATTAAATAATAACTGAATAAAATAATATTAAATAAATAATTCAAAACAACATCCATGTTTTGATGCTTATTTATTTGGACGTCGAGTGTGTAGTCAGCCCCCGAACTGCTGTTTGATAGTTAATGCAGGCCTTCGGGCTGAAAAGTTTGGAGACCCCTGGGTTAGACCGAGCAGTAAATATACCATTGTTTAACTTGGTGTCACCCCCCTGAGATGGTGTCACCCGGTGCGGCCCCTTAACCCCCACATCCCCCTAGCTACGCCACTGCCTGTATTTATAACAAAAGAAAATATTCAACGTTTCGGCGGAAAGTCTTCGACAGTTAACAATCATCAATCTAAATTTGATACTTGTAGTTGCAATTTGGGGGGGGGGGCGGGGCGCTGGATGACAAAAGGGGTGAAAGTGGGAGTTTGGCGTACCTAAATAGGGATGGGACTTTTGCAGCATTAATTATTTACAAACTATTTTTAACCGATCTGAAAAAAAAATAAATAAAGTGTCCAATTCTTCAAGTACTTGCTAAAATATATTAAGAATTAGTTTTTTTCTTTCTGATCTTAGCAAAGCCTCGGTTTAGTAGCCTTAAAATGATCTATCAAATCTGTGTGATTGCTTAAACCATTTAAAATAATGTTGATGGAAACTACTCTTGTACGTTTTATGAAAATAATTTTCTTTACACAACTGGATGCTTCATTGTAAAAAAAAATAAAATATAAGACAAACTGGCTAGAGATACTATTCAAGATAAAGTTTTAGTTTAAAAGAACAAGTACGGTAACCTGCAATCTATATATACGTGATCCTCACTCTCTTTGTCCTTTACCAGACGTGGACAAACTGCGGCTCGCGAGCCGCGTGCGGGTCTTTAGCATCTTGAGTGCGACTTGGCCAATCGGCCAACAAGTCGGTTTTGACTCCAAAGAACATGGTTCTTGACAGGTTCTTGAAAAGAAATGTGGCTGTCAAAATTTTTTTTAATCGTCCTGTTTTCGGCTCTTTTGACTAATGAGTTGGCCGAGCACTGCCCTGTATCAGTGGATGCAAATGTATGATGCAAAAGGTACCTATTGAAAGTTTGATACACTCCTGGGAAAATAAGACTATAGGCGACAGAATTTTCTAACAAAAGGAGGGCAAGTCAGCCTTAGGAATAACTTAGATTATATATATATATACATTTTAAAAAGTATATTTTTTGTGGTTGGGGGGGGGGATTAGGGTGGAGCTTGGGACGACGGAACATTTTCAATTTTAATTATGTATAAATATGATTCAACTGAGCTTAAAGGATCTAACTAAAAAATATGTGTTTTTGAAATATTTTATAATTTTAAAAAAAAAAAATAATAAACTGGCTTCCAGATTAATACGAGGGAAATTGAGATGGACAGACCAGCCCATGAGGTCAATTATTTCGTTAGGCTGTTTTACCATTCGTCTTTCTCTGTCAAATGGTTTTGTGAGTAGCTAAGATTCGGCAACCACTCATTTTACAAACGATCGTTAAAAAAAAAACAATATTGTAAAAAAAAAGACTCGTGTACAAACAAGGAAATGATTTTAGATGAACCTATAACACATACGTATATTCATATAAACGTGCGCACAATTTATTTTTTAGGATTCTTTTAATATTTGTCTAGCAGATTAAGGATACTTTTCTTAACTTAATTTAAAAATAAAATATGGTCACGCTATTTAATACTCAAGTCTAAGAGATAGCATTCTAAGTATAGTAAACGTACAGATACAATTCCAAGTCTCGTAGTTGTACATGTAACACATGTGTCAAACTCAAGGTCCGCGGGCCACATCCGGCCCGCCGAACATTTATATCAGGCCCCCGAGGTCTTGACCGGCGTACAGTTATATCCCCGTCAACGCTATGGTGTTTCCCAATGCACACTTTGCTGAAAAACTTGGCTTACATCGCACCGAGTGCGCACGGCGCTTTAGTGACTTTGAGGCACAGCAATTTAATTTCGAGGTGTTTCGTAACCCATTGGTCAGAGACGAGGAAACTGCACCTGTATATTTACAGATGGAGCTAATAGAGCTGCAGTGTAATGGGAAACTAAAGGCGAAGTACGACACAGTTGGGCCTGCACCGTTCACTAGTTTCATTTCCGAAGAGCTGCCCCAGCTTCGTCTACATGGGGCTCGAACCTTGAGCATGCTGGGTAGCACATATCAATCTCAATGACACAGAACGTTATTCCAAACATAAACGAACTTACTTGTTTTTATAGCCAAGAAAATGAGCCAAACATCCAGCTCTGACAAATTGGCATAAGAACGAAAATGGGTATGCCGATAATTTATGATTATTTATAACTTTTTTTGTTTTCATCTATATAATTTTTTTAAAGATTAATTTTACGCTTATTGAATGTTTATCCTGTTCGGCCCGCAACCTTACATGTGATTTGAGTTCTGGCCCGCCCAGGGATTGAGTTTGACATCTCTGCTCTAGAAGAAATGCCGACGTTTAAAATAAAGTTACACTCATCTATACAAAACTTAGAAAGTGGTTAATTCAAACGGAACACTAAATGTAAAGAATAAGAATAGTTTATTATACTAACTAACCGATCTTAATACACATTAATATTCTTAACTATATAACATGATGTAGCCCGTTCTTCTTGCTACCGCAAAAGACTTTTTTCCTCTTGTACATTTCAACTTTTTGTGATTTTCTCTCATGTGAAGCTATGAATTTCAAATTTTTAAACAAATATCTCTCTCTCTCTCTCCCCCCCCCCCCCCCCCCCCCAAACCTGCTTCCGGGTTTCAGACAACGCGCCCCCGAACTTCCCATTTCTGTCAGCTTGAAATGAAGTAGCCACAACTCTAATCCCTTGAACCGTACCCACAGTCTAAACTCAAACAAAACTCTGAGCTCTACGGTGCTTGGAGGTTTTTTCCAATCTTGCTCTGTGGATGATAGGATCCATGGTGTCCGAAATTGTAAACACTTTTTGTTTCTCTGCTCATTTTGAAACATATCAGTCACCAGAATTTAGCTTTGAAAAATTAAATATATTTTGTTTGCCTAAATCTAGATATCACCCCCTCCCCCACACACCTTTTTCCCGCTTAGCGATTTTATGTGTATAATTGTAGACCTACATATTTATCTCTGTTAACTAAAACAATTATTAAAGAATCATTGAAAACGTATGATTTAAAAAAAAAATTATCACTTTTTATTCACATTATAAGATACAGAATCTTAACTGGCGCAATACTCTGAGGGGGGAAAAACCCACATTATTGCTATTCCTATTATGTAAATGGGTTTGAAACCACTAATAATTTATAATGTATAACAACTAGCTCATAGCCCCGTCGCTACCTTGAGATATTTGTAAAACTAATTGCAGTAAAGTGGCACTACAGCCAGGGGCCACAATTAATGATCAAAGTCGTCCTTGAACCTCCCTTGACCTTAAGAACGACGTGACTACCAACCCGTCGCACTTCTTCTTACCGAGCTATGTGTACTATCTCATAAATGATAAAAATGTTTTTCGTCCTTCGCACGCTAAGATGACCAAGGACATTTCAGACTTGGACAGTACGGTCTTTTGGTTTGAAATGAGGGAGGGTTGATCAGCTCGCCAGCCTCACTCTCTATTCCTTACATTTTTGATGCAAAAGAAAGACTTGGCCAAGACGACTGGAAATAGACTAGGATGCAGTACATGATCAGAAGTGTGTGAGCGTGTGTGTGTGTGTGAGTTTGTGTTTCCCTGTGATCTTTATGCGTTCCAAGTCACAGGCGGTGTCGGATTTTTCACTTTGTCAGTGTCATACCGCCTACGGGACTCCATCTCATGGTTTTATTTCGAGTTTGCCTTCTCTTAGACGAGTTGCCATCCAGTGTTGCCGAGTCCCATCCACCCGGGATTCAGGTGATAGTTTGCTGGTCTAAGCGTGTCGCTGGGTATTGAATCAGCTTGGGATTGACTCAGTTTAAACCGCTTGCCCCCCCCCCCCCCAAGCATACACAAAATACATAAATAATGTCACATATAATATTTTATATCATATCACATTTTATCTTCTAAAATTATAAAGACTTTATTTTCCTAGATGCACATTGACTCGGCTACTTTATTTATGCCACTGTTATGTTTGGATGATGTCTTCTTTGCCTTAGTTTCGCTCTACGTACACTTCATGCTAACCAGTGATGAAGCTGAAGTTAATACTAATATTTTTGCTCCCTCCCACGAGAAAAAAACTATGCATTAGGCCAAAAATGACGCCTATATCAAGTGAAAAAATGTGGACCACCCCCCACACCCCCCTTCCTACGTCACTGATGGAAAAGGAAAAAGGATGTATATTTAAAAAAAAAAATTATGAAAAGACTCTAAATACTGGAAATTGGAACGCAATAAATTCGTTTGACGAAAATTAGTCAGACCCTACTGACGTCAGTCAGACCCAACTAACGTCAGTCAGACCCCACTAACGTCAGTCAGACCCCATTAGCTACATTCAGACCCCATTAGCTACATTCAGACCCCATTAGCTACATTCAGACCCCATTAGCTACATTCAGACCCCCATTAGCTACATTCAGACCCCCATTAGCTACATTCAGACCCCCATTAGCTACATTCAGACCCCCATTAGCTACATTCAGACCCAAATTAACTGAATTTCTGCGGATGGACAAATCGGTTGGTGTTTTTGTTCGACCATTGAATCTTCTTGATTGCCTCCTGTTAACTCTTATTCTTTCCAATTTTTCTGGTGAGCTCGTTCCTAAATACGTCACATTTTTTGGGATACTTAAATTTAAGTGGTATAACTTTATTGACTTCTGAGGTAGAGGATGAATGCGCGGCCAAAGCTTTCTGTCAGCTTCTTGGCCGTCGTATTCAGTCTACCGAAAAGCCTTTAAGGGGAAGTAAAAAAAATATAATATTGGGTGGCGCATTTTATTTCTCCTTATGTATGGACTTTTCACTATATTAGCTGCGTATGCTTAATTTGACATTTTACAGAAAATTGCACCAAAAATGTATTAGCTTAAGTTTGTACTGAACATTTTGGATACAGTCATTGCTCTTACAGTTACGTTTCATGATTTCCTGGGAGTGCAGAAATCAACCTGAACCTAAAAACTAATGCTCCACTTCATTTGTCCATATCGACATGATAAATCCACTTCAAATATTCATATTTATAATTTATCCACTTGATTTATCCACCCTAAAATACAGAATGCTTGACTGCACAATTCATAAAAGGGACAAGTGCCCCCTTGACCTACTCTGCAGACGACATTTGTCCAAACAACTTTAAAATAAACTCTCAAAACTATTTTCACATTTGCAAGCTCTATATTTTTTATTTATACTTATTTTTTTAATAAGACGATATTACATTTGTTATATTCGTATGTAAAAGACGTTATCGATATGTGAAAATCTCTCCGAACGTTCGATCCAACAAACCCCTCAGGTTTACTGTTTCATTGCGCGGGTCTCAGCGACCAAACCCCCAGACGGATCGATACTGATCAGCGCTTCCAATGACTGGAACGGTGAACAAAAACGAAAACCGAGTTGACCCGGTAGAGCTCTAAGAACTCACGCCTGGTGTCGTCTGTCGGCATACTTTGGCGGGAACTCTTGGTGGGTGGACTGCACTGCGCAGCCTTATTGTTCAAACCATTTTGATTGGATTAAGTGTTCATTGGCTTTGTGACAGCGTCATTTTACCAAGACTAATAAAGAGAGCGAACTAATCCTTAAAACAAAATTAACTTGAAATTATGTGGGAAAAAATGTTTCATTTTAAATTAAACATAAAAAACCAGATGATTTTTTGCAGGGATAGCCACTTTAGATGAGTTATGCAGGGATAGATGATTTAGAAGAGCAATTGCAAGGATAGCTAATTTAGATGATTTATTGCAATGATAATCAATTTAGATGTGTTTTTGCAGCTATAGCCGATTTACTACTTGTTGTTTCAAGTTTTCTTTGATCTTCAAAACAGCTAAGTAAAATATGCTTAAAAGATTCAGCACACACATATGATTATTGAAGCAGTTTTAAATGGTGCTCTTCTACTTATTTACAAAACAGAAAAGAATTATCTTTACAACTTTACAATGCTTTGTACTGGAAAGTGTTATTTGTATTAAGAATATAACAAAAAACTAATTCCAGCTATTGTATGACATAAAATTTCTGACGTGTTTTGCATTTCAACGATAGTGGTTACTTTCCGTTACCTATGATGAGAAAGGTAATAGTTAACATTTTGACAAAAATTTTATCCTGGCAAGATCAGACTACAAAAGTTTCAAACATCGTGGAATAATTTCAACACAGTGACCCGCAACCATGAATTTTCTAATGTTTCCTAAACTGGACGAGTACGCCATCGATCCGGACTTGATCAATGAAACGCTGGACACTCGCACGTCATCTAGGTCGAAGTCAAACACGTTACGCCTGCTGCTACCAAACATTCTACGACAAAGGAGTCGAACGGGCAGTAAAGCCGGTCTTAGAGAAAAGCAGACGAAGCGAGCTCGTGGCTACAACGACACGAGACTTAACACCGTTCGACGTACCACCAAAGAGCATTTCCGGCAAGACACTGCCTTTAAACCTCCCGATTTTGGGGAAAATGATAACCTTAAGGATAGAATGAGTTCAAGATCTCAGTTCTTTAAAAGATGGAGCAACTTCCCTTTGCCCTTTGACACACAGGAATCCCGCAGTCCCTCAGCTAAAGCGGAGGTTCGTTCAAAAGTAAATGATGCGGGGACAACCCCTAGATCCCGGAAAAGGCAAAAGGAGAATCTTCTCCCTGCAATCTCTCACTCGAACGATGAGGCTCCCACAAGAAGTGATTCACGCGGCGGTAAAACCGTGAAAGAGGTGAAGTTTTTCCCCGTGATGCACCTCCAAAAAACGGACGATGATTCCCATATTTACAGCGAAGAGGACAGCGCCATTCTCAAACGCCAGAAGACTAACAGCAAGCCGTGGAGCTTGTATCAAGTGATGACACAGATAAGTCACTCGCCTACTTCCCCCGTGGGATTGAAACAAGGACCTATGGAAGAGAAGCCCAAGGGAAAGGTTAATTATTTGAGCTTTTTAAAAAAAATAAATAAATTAAGAAACAAACAAAATAACATCATTTTTTCTTAAACTACAAAAGAAATATACTAAACATTCACATCATTTATGATGTATGCTATTTTCATGGACTAATGAATGGATATAAAGTATGCACTAAAACGAACACTACTGAAAATCCCGCATCTTTAAAACGTGTATGCGTTTGTCAACAATGTATATCTTCAGCCACCTCGTGTTCCCTGAAGTGAAAAGGGAAGACACGTAGGTGAGTTGGAAATGGTTCTCTCGTCTGATGAAAAAACTATTCACAGATGAGCATTACTTTCGTAAGTGGCAAGCTGTTGGAGTCTCAGTACTGTTACTTTCGTCACATCCATACGTGGATTTTCATTAAATAATCATGTAGTTTAACCCCCCTCCCCTCCCCCACCACACCACCACACATGTTACACCATGGACATTTGACTTCGATATCAAAGTAACCCAAACTGAGTAGGTGACAAAATTTGACGTAGATGAAATTATGAGTTTGTTGATACCATCTTTGAGATTGTATCCGCCAATGGTTGCATTTATTAACTGTTTTTGGTATCACTAGATTGCTGGGAGATTTAAAAAACTCATCGTTGCTGTCAAGAACGTGCTCAAGTTGGCTAGGGCGATCATCAAAACGTGAGTACATGGATAATATGATGAGAGATGAATTGCTATTATTCTAAATCCTACATGTATATGATGAGAGATGAATTGCTAGTACTCTAAATCCTATGCTTGCTACTGTTCAAAAGATATCCTCTCGCTATCTGTAAACATCAACAGTTAAACTGAAGTTGTATCATCCATGGAACGTGTCAAATTTTTAAGTTGGAAAGATTTTTAAAAAGTATTATTTTGTTTTAGTTTCTTAGTCGATAGTTTTACAAGGCACTTGTGTCAGCTAAAAAAAAGTTTAAAAAAAAATAAAATATCATCACAAACGACCAGAAACTGCCTATCTCTCTGTAGTAAGTTAGTGGCAATCTGGGCGGCCGGTGGGAAAAGATTATGTTTTATTAATATACCAATACCACGGGTGGCTAATATCTCAAATTTAAACTGCCTCTATCTTGGGATGAAAACGAGCTATTGTGTGTGATGACATAGACATTGCAAGGAGGCAGTCTTTTTCAATCCTTCTTACATTATCTTCGCTTTTGTTTGGAATGTTTGTGGCACAACCTGCAGACGGCTAAGTGACCCACTTTCCGTCATCCTCTCGAACTTAAAATTAAGCACATGGACTCTTGACCGATGACAACACATTCTAACAAATAGTCCAGGCCCTCACCACAAAATCAGTTTTTCTTTCTTTTTTTTTCAAGGAAAGGATGAATGAATTATGATTTGTTCAATGGGTGCGTATTTTGGCGTGGAGATTAATTGTGTTGCTCTCGTTATCTTCTTTCTATTTTTGACGTGTAAATAAATCTTGAGTCTTTTAGGTTTTACACGCACCAAGTTTGATCAAAACAATGGCCGTACGAACAATCAGTTTGGCTACCATGAAAGAAATGATCAATCACGCACAAAGACATAAACCATGAAAAAAGCGTATAAACTGTTTATACGAAAAACTTGTGTTTTTTTTTTTCAGGGTCGTGTCATAAAGCATCATATCGCTTTAGCTCAGAGTCGCGATTCTTTACACCGCAAATCCTTTTTCTTCCAGTTGTTTGTCATGAATTACATGACACTGTAGAGCAAATAGTTCCAGTTTCTGTATCACTACGCCCATATGGTTCATTTTGTCTAATTCTTACTATTTTTTAACATTTTTCATTATAAAGGTCCAAGTTAATACATAGAGTCTAAGTTTTGCAAAAAAAAAAAAAAAAAAAAAAAAATAAATTTAGTTAATATTTTAAAAAAAAATTTAAAATTATTTTTTAACATTTTTCATTATAAAGGTCCAAATTAATAAATAAAGTTTAAATTTTGAAAAAAAAAAAAAAAAAAAAAAAGTAATAATTTTAGTTAATATTTTAATAAAAGATTTAAAATCATGCCATCATTTAATTTGTTACTTTGTTATAACGTGTATCCAACGTTGATAGCATTACTTGCCAACTTTTTGAGCTATGGGCTTCAACTCACTAACACAAGTAGAACACACTGTTAAGCGATACCGTGTAGCTACCAATCAGGTGGCGCTAAATTTTGTTTACAATGTGTTCGATTGGTTTATGGCTCCCCTAAAAAAAAAACAACTTCTTTCAATGAGTGCTCCCCATGTCAAAATATATAAACACGAAAACCCCACACAAAGCTAGGTCTGTACTTTGTTTCCCCTACGTTATTTATGTGCCACTGGTTGAATATGTGTCAAATTTTTCTGCGTGTACCCGGGGTTGAACGGTTACCGGAAATTTCCTTGAAAGACGGAAATTTCTTTGAAAGAAATTGCGTCGACTGAAAATTGATCGACGGAAATTTGAGCGAAAGGAAATTTGGTGGAATCTTTTTTTCCGTTCACACGTTTAAATTTTGCGTCAAATTTGTTTTTCAACCCATTATACTATATAGTAAAAGAAAATAATGCGGTCATTAATATGTGGCCATCTTTGAACATATGGCCGTGTATGAACACGTGGCCGTGGTTAAACATGTGGAGTTGTTGAACATTGGGCCGTGATTGAATATATGGTCAAATGTATATGTTGCAAACTCAGGAAAACACTTCATTACACGGCCACACCTGACTGTCCAGCAACACGCCTGTCTGTCTAGCAACACGTCTGCCTGTCCACCTGACCGTCCAGCAAAACGCCTGACTGTCCAGCAACACGCCCGAGTGTGCCACAAACCCAGATGAAATTTCATGTCACCAGATTATAATCTAAATGGCACTCGTTGGAAAAATCAATAATCTATATCGTCATTACAAGGAATTGCGTAAACCGGTGAAATTAAAGAGTTTGAAATACTTGAGAGCTTCTCTGTGGAACAAACTCCACAATGGTTGCAACACAATCCAGGTAAGTTAAACTCCACAATGGTTGTAATACAATCCAGGTAAGTTAAACTCCACGATGGTTGTAATACAATCCAAGTAAGTTGAACTCCACAATGGTTGTAATACAATCCAAGTAAGTTAAACTCCACAATGGTTGCAATACAATCCAGGTAGGTTAAACTCCACAATGGTTGCAATACAATCCAGGTAAGTTAAACTCCACAATGGTTGTAATACAATCCAGGTAAGTTAAACTCCACAATGGTTGCAATACAATCCAGGTAAGTTAAACTCCACAATGGTTGCAATACAATCCAGGTAAGTTAAACTCCACAATGGTTGCAATACAATCCAGGTAAGTTAAACTCCACAATGGTTGCAGTACAATCCAGGTAGTTGAACGTAGCCTAAATTTAGCTTCTAGAGGAAAATAAAATATGATCCCCACATTGATTCAGCCATTGAGTTGACAGCTAAAGTGCATTGCTACATTAATTGTGACTTGTGGCTGGCATTAAAAAATATTACTCGCAATATTTGCTACATTTTTTTTTTTGGGGGGGGAGGGGGAGGGAGGGGGGTCGGGTAAGACAAACGGATTTTCTTCATGCCATTTTATGTAAACAAGAAAAAGATACAAATTGTTTTCTGACCGCACGATTTCCCATATCAAGTTTGAATTCAATCAACTATCGAATGCTTGAATGGATAACATTATTTTATTTTTAGAGCAGGGGTTCTTAGCCTTGTTGGAGTGACCGAACCCCACCAGTTTCACATGCGCTTTCACCGAACCCTTCTTAATAGTAAAAATAAAATATGATATTTTTTTTTCTGAATTTTTTTTGGGGCCTCCGCCGAACCCCTGAGACTGGCTCACCGAACCCCTGGGGGGTCTGATCGAACCCAGGTTAAGAACCACTGCTTTAGAAGAAATATTAATAACTGTTTATAATATTTATCCTCACACAGTCGCTTCTTTAAGTAGTTTTATGTCAAGTGCGGGTGCTATTTTTGGCGACGACCGTTCAGAGGTGTACTATCGGTTATGAACTAGAACAAGGGTTCTCTAACTATTCAAACAGGGTGCCGGATCAGACACCTTCGGGGGCCGGATCATTGTGCCTCAGACACTGTCAGGGGAATTATAGTTTGAAAAAAAATAATAATGAACTAACTATAAAAGCACTGCATCTTAATTGCAGTGGGGACCCCCCCCCCCCCCCCCCCCCCCCACACCCAAAAAAAAAAAAAAAAAAAAAACAAAAAAAAAAAAAAAAAGTAGATCCAACATAAACTTAATAGTATTCAAAGGTAAGTATGGCCAAAGAGATGATGAATGTTCGGTTTCGTTGATTTCAGAATGACATTTGAACATTTTTGCCATCATTCCAGGTCTGATAGTCCCAGCGCCTTGCTGAAAACGTTCACAGACTTGAGCCGAGTGCCAGACTCTGACGGGGAGGAATCTTCATCGGAAAACATGAAAAAGTACGGGCTCCATTTTGATCCCTCGTACTTTAGAGCCAATCGCGAGGTAATCTCTCTCTCTCTCTCTGTCTCTCTGTCTCTCTCTCTCTCTCCCTCTCTCTCTCTCTCTCTCTCTCTCTCTCTCTCTCTCTCTCTCTCTCTCTCTCTCTCTCTCTCTCTCTCTCTCTCTCTCTCTCTCTCTCTCTCTCTCTCTCTCTCTCTCTCTCTCTCTCCCTCCCCCCTCTCTCTCTCTCTATCTATCTCTCTCTCTCTCTATATATATATATATATATATATATATATATACATTATATATATATAATGGTTTGAATCAATGGCAGGTAATCTAGACATTTATATGTGTTTAACTGAAGACAGGTCATCAATATATAATGTATTATTTACCAATACCTATGAGGGTTAACCATTTATAGACCAATACCAATGCGAGTTAACCTCTTATAGCCCAAAAACATGAGAGTTAAACTTTATAGACCAATACCTATGAGGGTTAACCTTTTATAGACCAATACCAATGCGAGTTAACCTCTTATAGCCCAAAAACATGAGAGTTAAACTTTTATAGACCAATACCAATGAGAGTTAAACTTTTATAGACCAATACCTATGAGGGTTAACCTTTTATAGACCAATACCAATGCGAGTTAACCTCTTATAGCCCAAAAACATGAGAGTTAAACTTTTATAGACCAATACCAATGAGAGTTAAACTTTTATAGACCAATACCTATGAGGGTTAACCTTTTATAGACCAATACCAATGCGAGTTAACCTCTTATAGCCCAAAAACATGAGAGTTAAACTTTTATAGACCAATACCAATGAGAGTTAAACTTTTATAGACCAATACCAATGAGAGTTAAACTTTTAAACCACACAGCCGTTAAATCAAAACGAGTAAAAAAAGTATTTGACTAAGTTAGAAAAGACAGTAGGTCTGTGTTATTTTTACAAAATAAATTAAAAACTACCCCATTAAATACTGCCTGCGGCTATCTCAGTACAGTCCGCTACCATCTCCCAATAATTTTCCACTCCATTCATTTCGAGTAAAAATAACATTTGTTTAAAAAAAAAAGAGTAAAGTTTTGGTGACTCCGTTTAAAAAAAAAATGTATTTCCCAAATAAGTCTAGGCTCTGAAATGAATTGTTGAAATCAGTTCCGCTTGCCCTGGCCAGAGGTTTAAGTGGGGGTACAGTGGTCTTTGCTTGATGAATATCTGGGGCCAATCATCGTCAACAATTGATCAATAAGAAAATACATTAGGGATACGAGGAGCAGCTACTGGTAGTAATCCATTCTTTCATCCGTACACAACAAACGTGGGCTCTGGTAATGATATAATCATTCTGTTACAGATAAATTTGAGCAGTGAAGTAAGGAGTATTCTCAAGCTGCATCCCAATCGTAGAACACCAGAACAAATCCAAACAGTGAGTAGAACACCAGAACAAATCCAAACAGTGAGTAGAACAGCAGAACAAATCCAGACAGTGAGTAGAACACCAGAACAAATCCAGACAGTGAGTAGAACACCAGAACAAATCCAGACAGTGAGTAGAACACCAGAACAAATCCAGACAGTGAGTAGAACACCAGAAAAAATCCAGACATTGAGTAGAACACCAGAACAAATCCAGACATTGAGTAGAACATCAGAACAAATACAGACAGTGAGTAGAACACCAGAACAATTCTAAACAGTGAGTAGAACACCAGAACAAATCCAAACAGTGAGTAGAACACCAGAACAAATCCAAACAGTGAGTAGAACACCACAGCAAATCCAAACAGTGAGTAGAACATCAGAACAAATCCAAACAGTGAGTAAAACACTAAAAGAACTAGATAACATTTCCCTGTGTGATTGTACACCCTGATACAGGTGTCTTCTTGACTCTATGTAGTCACACCAATGCCGTAAAAATCATTGACGGTAACATTACATTTAATTCTTCGTTTGTGGTAACTGTATGTGTAACATTCCATAAATTCAGTTGTCGATGGAAGTCTAATCAAACGAAAATCAAATGATAGAGAGTTAAAAAAAATTAAAACAAGAAAAGATGAGAGAGCCAGAGAGAGAGGGAGAGGGGGAGGGAGGGAGAGAGAGGGAGAGAAATAGGAGAGATAGATGAAAAGTGGGGAGAGGAAAATAGAAGAAGAGAGATAATTTATGTATTACTTTAATCTTAAACAGTCAGTTGGTAAAAAAAACAACCTATATTGTATATCTTAATTTTATAAATTTTAACTCATGGCGATGTCTCTGTTCCAGGCGATGTTTGGTTTACAGAGCATTCCGTCGTTTGCAGAGTATCCACTTCACATGCAGGAGAAACTGACCAAGGTGGCTTGGCTGGACATGTGAGTAGTCATTTCACTCAGCCGTGAAAGCCATAAGATCGCCAAAAACTCACACTATGTGACTGCTCATACGGCTCAGCATTTCGAACACAATAATAAATGTTTGACAATTCACAGGACAATAAAAATTGAACCACTGATTTATTGATCCAACATTTTACATTGCTTACAACTTATACACAAAGTGATAAAATAGACTAAAACAATATAATAAACAACACACACAACCACCATCACCCTCACACACACCCAACCACACACTCATGTTGTTCGTCCTTCACACGGGAAGATGACCAAGGCTTTATTACACGGTGAGCACGTAGGTGGCCTGCCAGTCCTACTTGTGCATGGAAAGCTTTCCCGTTCGTGGGACACACGTCGTTGTGAGTCCTAGTAGGATTGGAGTCGATTTTGATTTTTCTTGCCATGCGCTTGCTTTGGGCGTGAGCGGTGCTCTTATTCTCCGAAGATTTTGTTCAGACAGTGAGTCTTCCACGTCAGTTTGCACGGTCAATGGCAAGTGTCTCCCACAAATCAAGGTCAATGTCCATGGATTTAAGTGAAGCTTTTTGACAGTCCTTGAAGCATTTTTTTCTTCCCACCAGCTGAGCATTTCCCACACACACATATACACACACATATATACACACACACGCATGTACAAACACAGGCACGCACACACATAAACACGAATCACTATTCTATTAAGCACCTATTACCATGTTCATTCTCAGAGTAACACCCAACAGGACAATCATCAGACAAGGACATTTTGCTGAGAACTTCTACTTCATTGTCTCGGGTCAAGGTAACCATTGCATGTCAACGTTAGGGTTCTATTTTTGTGACTATAAGATACATCTTAAAATATTATGTCATGTATTAGAGTTGGGAGAATAACATCTTTTTCTTCACATAATGTAACTTTTAAAAATTACCTTTGAATTATATAAATAGTACACATTTGTGTGACATTGAAACAATAACGAGATATAATAACATTTAGCTTTCTAAAATAAAGCGTCACAATTTTTTGGACAAAGCAAAAAGTGACATAGTCATCCGTGACCACTCACTTTTTGTTTAAATCTCAGCTCACCCCTACATCAAAATATCAATGTTAATACGAGTACGCGTTTTTCAGTTTTTTTTATGTAGCCTCTTAGCAAATGAAAATATGAACGAATTTGACCCATAAATTGCTCTATTGAGTTTCAGAAGATCGTGTTCTCTAAATTCTTTGGTGTGTTATAATTTGTTGTTGTTGCTGTTGACGGGTAGGCGGGAGGGGCTAGTTTCTTCACCAATCATTTTGAACTTTTGCCTCTTATCTTTCTACACGATTTATCGAGACATCATTTTAAAATGTATTTTTCGAGTTTGCATTGCTTCCTGTAATTTCCTTTAATATAGTATTAGTATTTCCGAATAAATCGATAAAATTGCGTACCCGAGAAAACAATTAGTAGGCGCAATCACTGAAACTGTGACTGCACGTGTAACAGGAAATAATCTGTATTGATTGACAGGAATATTTGAATGACGTCTTCACGTGGGATTGGCTGCCATAAAAACAAATTTAGCCTGAGGGGCGGAACTTAATCATGGACAACATTTCAGTTGATCCAATGCTATCTAATTGTATCTGCCCAATGCAACCACAGCTGGCTTTTTTGTAGTTTTTTAATTTTTTTTATGAGAACATTGGCAGCCCAGTGCAAGCACTGCTGGCTTTTTTGTTTTCTTATTATGAGACTCAAGCTCATAAGCACCATTAACGATGGCTATGATAGAAACAAAATGCCACCTCTCCCCCAATAAACAATCTCATTTCTGTCATGTTAATTTCCGGTACCTCTTGTGTACAGCCTCTTGTGTACAGCCTCTTGTGTGCAGCCATTTGTGTCACATAACATTATGGAAATAACTACATGAGAGTATGGACAGCGCTCACCAAACGGACCAGGCCCGGCTTAATAAATGATCAAGTCATTGTTAACGTATTCAGTACTTGCATCATTGCTGCCGAGCCAAGTTATATTCCCGTGTTTTGGTCAGAGATTTCGGTTCACAATTAACATCGTTCGTTCTTCGGATAAAACACGGTAAAATGTTTAGAAAAAAAAGGGAATAGTTGAATCAGCAAAAGACATTTACCCAGATTTGGAATCTACATTTTCCGAGGACATGTAGCTACTGATAGTTCATTGAGTTGTTTCGTACGTTAGCTTCAAGGGAGCCGTCAATGAGACGTTTCATCATCATCATCATCAGTGGCGCTGCAGCTCCGCATCCTTGCATTCGGATGGACCTATGGCTTTCCACCTCAATGCGAGAACCCCCAGCGGGTGCAAGTCCTTTTCAGTCTTGTTCGAACTGGGATTCATCTGCCCCCACTTTTCTGCATGCAGATCCCTTTTGCTTTCTCTACAATCCGGCATCCTTTCAATGTGCCTTGTCTAGCACAGACTGCATTTTGTAAAAATTGTTGCTACTATGGATGGGTCTTTGTACAGTTGATATAGCTCTTGGTTTGTACGGGTTCTCCAAACACCGTTGTATATCACTGGGCCGTATATTTTCCTTAGGATTTTCCTCTCCCATGTATTGAGCAGGTTCTCTGTCTTTATAGTAAGGGACCAAGTCTCACTTGTGTAAATTACGACTGGTCTCATGATAGTGGTGTATAATATTGTTTTAAGGGAACCGTCATTTAAACGCTTATTTCTATAACTATTTTCCTTCATTGCATAATTTACCATTTAGTAGGTGGCGTAGCTAAGGTTATTGCCACCCGGGGTGGGTGAAGCTTTTTTTTTCGGGGCGTCCCTCCTCCTCCGCACCACCTTCCTACCCCACTCTCATCTCCAATTAGTAATAATGAAACTGATAAGATGAAGACTTTAAATTACATCATCAAAACGGTGACACCATGCCAATGACCTCGCTAGTTGCTATTTCTAGGTGGCAGAGAAATAAAAACAAAAGTATTTGTAATAAGGTTTGACATTTCTATGCCCAGAACACGTCACATCGCTTTACGTAATGTTACTTTTTTTAGGCATGGCCGCTTACAATGTATTTCCGTATGGTAACAATTTGCTTGTAAAATCTTTCGTAAAATAAAGTTGTAAAACACGTTTTCATTTAGGTTAAGGTACCGCTATGCTGGCACATATTAACGTAGAAATGCCTAACAGCTGGTGAGAGATTGGCCAAACGAAATACCAGGATGTTTTAATAATATCTTTCCGCCATTTAATGAGATTGGCCAGAATGTATACCCGGATGTGCTATTAATAGCTTTCCTCCCTTAAATAAGAACCCCCGTATAAAATATTCTTGCTCTTCAAAACTCCTAATATTACTTAACGCCATTAAAATCTTTATACAATCAGCCATTCGTTTATGAAAGTTTAGTATCTTTTTGAACAAAATAATATGTTCAAATTGTTCCTTTCCTCCGACAAAATACTAATGCCTCCCTACCGCAGACCACAACACTATTTTATTCATGTGTGCTCAAGATCCAGGCTAGTGAAAATGTAACGCAGGCTGACTGACCAGGGGCGGAGCAAGGGTAGGTGCTACCGGGACGGGCCAAGCCTTTAGCCCCCCTCCCTCCACCCTTCCATAAAAAAAAACATTTTGGAAGCTAGCCTAAAATCCCCCCCTCCCCCCCCCCAACCCCCCGTGGCATTTAAAGGAAACAAGTGCCGTTCGGGAGTGGACTGCCTCCTCCACGGGCGTCAGCACAGGGGGGGGGAGGGTGGAAGCAAGCAGCTGCTTCCAGTCTGAATTGAGGGGGGGGGGCCTCATTTTTGAATTTCGCCAGGTAACAGAAATTAAATATGAAATGAAAAATACAAATTCCCGATATCATTTTTTTTANGGGGGGGGGGGGGGGGGGGTTGGTATTTTCTTAGGAGAAAAGAAAATGTCTATTTCAAGTACCTGGCTTGGGCTGGGAATCGAACTCCAATCCTCTAGTGTGAAATAACAATGTTTCCAAATGGTGTATTGCTAACATTCTTATTGTAGTCATAAACACTAAAACCATGACTGGTATGACACACACACAGAATTTACAAAATCCAAAGTCTAAGGGGGAAGAGTGGTTGGCTTCCACTAACCAGGGGGGGGGGATATAGAAGCCCCTTTGCCTCCTCCACACCCCCTTTCCTATAGGATACGTCACTGCGGCTAACTTAAACATTTGTTTGTCCATCCGGCGTGGAATACGTAATGAGTACGGGCGCTTTCTTTGTGCGTCTGTCAGTGTCAAATCATGCCACGAGACAGATCCTAATGTGAAACCACTTAGGCGTAAGAGTAATGGTCAATTCGCGCTACGTCTTTTAGCTAAGTCACTCGCTTCTTATTATTTAGAAATCTGTTTTCATAGTGGAACTATGAGACGTTTTTTCTGGCTAATACATATTGAGCCTGTAATCGAATGGTTGTAAGGTATAACCAGTGCCATCTATTTTTTTTCTTCCTCTTTTGAATAAATCAACCTGGAAAGGAGTGGGGGATGTGTGATGTATTATGTGTGATGTGTTATGTGTGATGTTTTATGTGTGCTGTGTTATGTGTGATGTGTTATGTGTAATGTGTTATGTGTGATGTGTTATGTGTGATGTGTGATGTGTTATGTGTTATGTGTGATGTGTTATGTGTGATGTGTTATGTGTGATGTGTGATGTGTTATGTGTGATGTGTTATGTGTGATGTGTTATGTGCGATGTGTTATGTGTTATGTGTGATGTGTGATGTGTTATGTGTGATGTGTTATGGGTTATGTGTGATGTGTTATGTGTGATGTGTTATGTGTGATGTGTGATATGTGATGTGTTATGTGTGATTTTTTATGTGTGATGTGTTATGTGTGATGTATTATGTGTGATGTGTTATGTGTGATGTTTTATGTGTGCTGCGCTATGTGTGATGTGTTATGTGTGATGTGTTATGTGTAATGTGTTATGTGTGATGTGTTATGTGTGATGTGTTATGTGTTATGTTTGATGTGTGATGTGTGATCTGTTATGTGTGATGTGTTATGTGTGATGTGTTATGTGTGATGTGTGATGTGTTATGTGTGATGTGTTAGGTGCGATGTGTTATGTGTTATGTGTGATGTGTGATGTGATATGTGTGATGTGTTATGGGTTATGTGTGATGTGTTATGTGTGATGTGTTTTGTGTGATGTGTGATGTGTTATGGGTTATGTGTGATGTGTTGTTCTTCCAATTAAACTGCTATAAAAATACAACGAACGTGCTTTGAAGTCTTAGAGGTATTAAATCAACCCCCCCCCCCCCACACACACTTTTTTTTTCAAAACTGCTTTCCCATATCTTAATATAATCAAGGGAGAAAGTTTAACAGGGGCTGTTCTCCCACCACACACAAACAGTGCCAGTGTTAGAACAGGGGCTGTTCTCCCACCACACACAAACAGTGTCATTGATTAGAACAGGGGCTGTTCTCCCACCACACACAAACAGTGCCATTGATTTGAACAGGGGCTGTTCTCCCACCACACACAAACAGTGCCAACGGTTAGAACAGGGGCTGTTCTCCCACCACACACAAACAGTGCCATTGATTAGAACAGGGGCTGTTCTCCCACCACACGCAAACAGTGCCAGTGTTAGAACAGGGGCTGTTCTCCCACCACACACAAACAGTGCCAATGATAAGAACAGGGGCTGTTCTCCCACTACACACTCAAACAGTGCCAACGGTTAGAACAGGAGCTGTTCTCCCACCACACACAAACAGTGCCATTGATTAGAACAGGGGCTGTTCTCCCACCACACGCAAACAGTGCCAGTGTTAGAACAGGGGCTGTTCTCCCACCACACACAAACAGTGCCATTGATAAGAACAGGGGCTGTTCTCCCACTACACACAAGCAGTGCCAGTGATTAGAGCAGGGGCTGTTCTCACACCACACACAGACAGTGCCAGTGATTAGAACAGGTTCTGTTCTCCCACCACACACAAACAGTGCCATTGATTATATCATTCCAGTCTGTACGCCCTTTAGCCTATACAAAAAAGCCGAGACATGTTTCCGCGTACATCAAAAGCTAGACAAAAACCCAACCGTTGTCTCGTTACACCATTAACTCTAACTCTGTGATTCAGATCTTCTTGTTTTTTTTCTTTACATTTGTGGAAAAAAAAGTATGTTATGTTTACCCCAACTTCTAAGGGCCCTGGGAACATTGTCTGCAGCTTGTACACATACACTTACAGGGGCGGGTGTTGTTTTTCAGATGAATTTGTTGTTATCTAACACCTCAGCAGAATTGCGTCTAAAGTGTGATTATAAGTGTGAATAGTTTCTGTGTTTTGGTTAATGTTCAAGTATTTGCTTGTGTCATTTCCATCTTCTTTATCGTCACGTTTGTTGAATGGAGTAGTGGACGAGGATTGTCAATACGGAGTGTATGACGTATACATTTCCAGGGTCAACTAACTTAATCGACCAGATTATGTAACAATAATAGAGTTTTAGCGTATATTTTCCCTGCGGTCTGGGTTAAATTTAATCGAAGGTGACTGTTTGGTACCCCCTATGTGTAGCTGACCAACTGGATAAATCAATGTCTTTGCAATGCAACGAACCAATGAGGTTGTGAGCAGCTGTGTGCATTGACTGCCGTGACAGAGAAGGGGGTGATGATGTCATACATCTGTGGGCGTAGATGATAAGCTCGACCCACTCTCCAGGAGGAACAGTTGGGGTGCCCTGTTAAGGAACAGGTGGGGTGCCCTGTTAAGGAACAGGTTGGGTGCCCTGTTAAGGAACAGGTGGGGTGCCCTGTTAAGGAACAGGTGGGGTGCCCTGTTAAGGAACAGGTGGGGTGCCTTGTTAAGGAACAGGTGGGTGCCCTGTTAAGGAACAGGTGGGTTGCCCTATTAAGGAACAGGTGGGGTGCCCTGTTAAGGAACAGGTGGGGTGCCCTGTTAAGGAACAGGTGGGGTGCCTTGTTAAGGAACAGGTGGGTTGCCCTGTTAAGGAACAGGTGGGGTGCCCTGTTAAGGAACAGGTGGGGGGCCCTGTTAGGGAACAGGTGGGTGTTAAGGAACAGGTGGGTTGCCCTGTTAAGGAACAGGTGGGGTGCCCTGTTAAGGAACATGTGGGTGCCCTGTTAAGGAACAGGTGGGGTGCCCTGTTAAGGAACAGGTGGGGTGCCCTGTTAAGGAACAGGTGGGGTGCCCTGTTGAGGAATAAGAGGTTGCTCTTGCGGAGGGTCTTTAAGTGCCCCGTTGGTGTCTGGTGGGAAGAGAGGGCCCGTGGGTGTTCGTCTCTCCCCATGGACCCAGTATGTCGTCATTGAGCGCTCCCTCGAGGAGAGGATACTGAGGAATCGAGAGTTGTCTAGTAGTCTATGCCCATTGGCCATTGTGGCTTGCGGGGGAAAAAAAAATCATGATACATATTCGTGTCAGATTCACGAGTGGAAAGACCCACCCCCGTTCCCCCGTGTTTAGATAATAGGATGTAATTGCTGTAAAGTCTTTGATGCGGATGCACGGCTGTAAGTGCATAGGCTGCTGCAGAGTAAACAACAACAACAACAACACAAACACAGTCCACGCGTGTGTGAAGCGATGAACACAAAAGGGTGTGTGCCCGGGCTGGTCTGGTTACTAACTGGGCGCTCAGGGCGATCCTTGGTGCTTAAATTGAAAAATTCCACGACTCAAACACTACTTGCCTAGACTCGATTTAGTAAGAAGCGAATCCGGCTTGCGAGTTATTGAAATCAAAATCTCTTTTGGCGATTTTCCGCTCCATGTCTACTATCAACAAAGTTCTTTTCTCTGCCTGCCCAGACTTCTATATCTTTAAATCCATTTGGTGTTTTACATTATCTGTGGTATTGTTTATCTAAACATAGTTTAAATATTTATAATATGACAATGAACATATCTTCATATGACTTCATTTTTTTTTTTTGATCCCGATTGTTTGTAGCTCTGGTGACCATCAGCAGACCAGGCGACTCTTCAGCTCAGACGGCGGCCATGATGAGAAAAGGAACAAGTTTTGGTGTATGTATAGACCTAGCTAAATAATTCTTATATACCGACAACAGCTTATGTCTATAGACCTAGCTAAACAATTATTACCTACCAACAACAGCGTATACTTTTGTGTACAAATATAACAAAATCCGAGAAAGTCAAAAAATATTTTACTACAGTTTTCTTCTTTAATTGAAATAAGCTGAATTACTGGGGTAAAGTGGGATTACATTTGATCAATGCCCCCCTACCCCACCACACCCCCTTCCAGGAACTCGCATTACTCCACCACTCCAGGAGGACGGCGACCGTCACAAGTCATGACACTGTCAAACTTCTGTCAGTCGGACGAGATGATTTCTTTGATATTTTCATGTCACGCCAGGGCACGGGTGAAATGCCAGACCACATCAAGTTTATCAGGTCAGTGACTGCATACGCTTGGGCAAATAAAATACAGCACCAGATGTTTGTTTTATTGCGAAAGCGAGTGTCTCTTTTCTTCTCTTACTATAATGCTTATCTATCTTTAGTTTTGATATCTGTTAGAATGTTTGAGTCATATATCAGAATACACTATGTGACAGCCAAGTCGACGTAATCTAGATGTCCCTAGCAATTTTCTATCATATATTTTAACTTAATTTCTAGCAGTGCAGATTTGTTTAGAACAGCGGTTATCAACCAGTAGGTCGCGGTCCCTTTTGGGGATCGAAGGACCCTTACACGGGGGTCACCTACAGGGTGGGCCAATAAAATATTTTAGATGTTCTCCCTTTTATTGGCCCACCCTGTAAGACCATCGGAAATCACATATTTATGAAGTAGCATCGAAAATAATTGTATGGTTTTGGGTTACCACAACAAGAGGAACTGTATTAAAGGGTCGCGGCATTAGGAAAGTTGAGAACCACTGGTTTAGGCTACCACGTTTTGACTCCATCGCTTTACTGAAGCTTTCATCGGGACTAGATGTGTAAATATTTTCACTCACTCGATTGCACGAAAAGTGTCATCATATAGATAAGAATATAATCCGTTATATCAGGCCAGGGGATATACTTAGAGATATAAATCTAGGAAAATAGTTGTATAAAGCTGGGAATATAGCCTACTCAGTGATATAAACCTTGGAATATCGTCAGTGAAATAAAGCTGGGACTATCAACAGTGAAATAAACTAGGATGATAGTCAGTGATCGAAAGCTAGGAATATGGTTAATGAAATAGAGCTTGCGATATAGTCAGTGAAATAAAGCTAGGAATATAGTCAATAAAATAAAGCTAAATCTGTTTATTTTGTAATGTTTCAGTCAGTTGGAGTTTATGAAAGACTGGCCCCTGGAGCGACTTTTGGAAAGACCGGACCAATGTCTTTTGCATTTTTTCAAGTAGGCATATAGGGAATATACCAATAAACTTTACGTTAACTAAATGTCAAATTGTCTAACTCAATACGTTTTTTTTTTTAAATAAAAGAAAAACATAATTCTCCTACTTAATGGTGTTTTCAATCTAAGATTTTTTTATAACGCATACACAAAGTTGATATACGTTTTCTTGCGTTTGGTCAGATATAACTGAATAATCCTAAAAGTTGATATTAATTATCTTCATGTATTTTGGTCAGACGTAACATGGTGATCTTGAAAGACAGTCGAACGTCGGAATGGTTCTACGTTGTCAAGTCCGGCTCCTGTCAGGTTCTCAAACAGTTGAAGGGGGTCACCGCACGCCTAGCACCTCTTAGAAAACAAACCCTGGAATCATCTGATCGACTTTACAGATCGAAAATATCTTCATTTCAAGGTACGCGATTCAGGATAACGGTGATTTAAGGTAAAATCATCACCACTGTCCTCATAGGATGAAATGAACCAAGGGGAGAAATAATGTTTAAATTATGTCTTCCATTTCTGGATCTACGTTCATTTTGGTAGAAATAGATGAGGATGGACTGTACCAAGTATCAAACGGGAAAAATAAAAACAAAAAAACGGGGTGGGTTTGCAATGCCAAATTTCTCAATTAGTGAAGTGGGTATCAGCTAAGATGGTGGATTTCATGGATGCAGGTGAGGCTACAGATTATAGAGGAAGGTGAATTTAATATATTTTAAAAAAATCACTCAAATATTCTTTACTTCGTGAAAATAAGTGATTGGATTATTGCAGTATTGTATTAAAAAATCTTATTAGACTACGCACCTACATCATTAACATAGGCTGCCAAATAACAGGCTGTAAAGTATGGGCGGCAAGGTCATATTTAGTGAACTCTTACAACAAAGAGACAAATTTCCGGGTTGAATGCAAGCATTTAATTTAAATTATGAATGGTCTTCATTTGATAGCATTAGGGCAAATGTAGAATTTTAAATTGGAAATCTCATGGGCCAAACAGCCGGACTTTGGTCAACATTAATTTGAATAGCTGATGCTTGTTGCGGGGAGATTGTATTGACCTCATCTGATGTCACAAATAAAATCAATTACACTGAACCAATTAAGGCACAGCTCTGATGACATCGGCCGTATTGGTCTTCATTCCATTAACATGGAGAATTCCTTCCAACTTTTTGATCAGTTGTAATGTAAGTTGGACACCAAGTAGGGGTAACAGAGAAGGTGGGGTAAGAAATAACTTGATCGAAACCGTAAATAACGATCATGTCCTAGATTTTAAAAATAAAACAATCAAACATGCTTAATAGTGTCAAATACATTTTTAAAACATGCACTTGCATTCGCAAAGTAGATTTTGTTGATTTTAAAAAAAATGTATTTAAAGAAGCATACTGGGAGGAATGGGTTCAGGTTGAAGCAATAAGTAATATAGAAAGGGGAGAGGACAACCTGAAAGAGGACAACACAAAAAAGCGGAAGTTTCTGCCGGAAAGCCTTCAACTCAAGAAAACACCGATACCAACACCCTTAGTTTGTTGTATGAGCTGAGACTGTTTGTCTTGGAATTTCTTCTATGTCGAAGGCTTTTTGACCGAAACGTGCACATTTTTTTCATGTTTTCCTTTTTCAGGTTTTCCTCTATACTTTGTATATTATTATAAAGGATGCCAGATTACGGAATCTGTGATATTTTAAGGTGACCAAAAGCTTCAGTGATGACATCACTACTAGTTACGTAAGAGATGTTGCTATTGGGTATTCTTTCATTCGCTACAACACTTTTCAGGTTCTAAACATGAGTACAAAAGACGACCCCATCGGAACAGATCAACTAGTGCCAGACCTCGTGATGATTATGTAAGTTAGAGAAGGGTGGGGGGGGGGGAAAGAAATATTATAGCATGGGACAAAAATTACAAAGTAGTTTTAAAGCTTAATTGACCAATAGAAATATGCAAATCATCGTTGTGGAGTGGGGATGACAGAGTCAAAGAAATGATTTTCCTTTAACTCACGTTTCTATAAAGATAATTCTTTTTTTTTTCAGTATGAGAAAAACAAGACAAGGAAAAAACGAGGCATGAGTGACAACAATAGTTCAAAGATCACTAGCCATGACGATCACGAAGGCAAAACTGGTTCAGATCTTGGGGAATCTCCGCATGTATGTAGTTGAAATTGCTAATATATAGTTGGAGACACATGCTTGTCATTAAGGTGCTGTTTTGGTGGAGGAATTACACATTGCACCACACTGTGTCATTAGCAGGAGCCTGAAATGTTTTAAAAGTTGTTAAAATTATTTTTTTCCCCATGCAGGTCAATTAGCGTGTGCACTCAACTAAATTAATATTCTGCGTTGTATCTATTAAATATATAGAATGATATATGCAATTTTAATATCAGAAGCTGAAAAAAAAACAAATCATCTGTTTGATAGTGTGCTATAGTGTATGTCATAACAGGTTACCATCAACAAAAAAGACGGTCAGAGTGAGCATGCATTAAACAGCGGTCAGAATCGTGCCCAGCAGTGCCCCCAGGCACATGAGCAACCTGTGTTTGTTCAAATTGAGCTGTTGAAACCCATGGATGTTTTTGTAAGTTGATTGGATTCATCAAACAATTGTCTAATATTGATCAGTTAGGTCAAATGGGACCACGGGTAGCTCAAGAAAGAGATACTCTCATGAAATCTATAAAGTATAGCCTAAATGACTTTACAAATCCGAAAATGAGAGGAAATTGCTTTAAACACAGGACCGTTTATAAATAAAATAAAAAATTGATGTGGTTCATTAAAAGGTAAACTTTGATGAACATCTTTAAATATGTTTTCTTGAATTGCAAACAATAACATTAGAAATAATAACATTAGAAATAATGACATTAGAAATAACGACTTAGAAATAATGACTTAGAAATAATGATGTAGAAATAATGACCTGAGAAATAATGACGTGAGAAATAATGACATGATTCTTTTTCTGTGTTTCATGAAGGTTTTGTCTTTACTCGTTTATAATATTCTATTATTTACTTTTACAACAGGGACTCGATCGGGTCAGCTTCAATAACAGCCTGGAGACGGAGTCCTCCAGTGTCAGTTTGGTAAGATTTCATTTCGTGAGAACCAAGCCAAAACTTGATATTTTTCATTGTCATCCCGTGAGTTGCGCTGGTAACCATGATTAAGTTTGATCCTTACTTTGTGCTGAAAGACGTTCCAGTAGGCCCCACTGTGCTGCAGACTGTAGACTGTAGCGGGTGGGATCACACTTAGCCTACTATTAAATGTATCAAGGTGAACTCTTTTAAAGGGCCGGCCTTGGTTGTAAAATTAATTTTGTGTTGACACCTGTCAAGGTCATAAACCTCAGAGAGAATGTGTGAGTTTTGATTTTGGTGACAAATGGGGCGTGTGAGCGAGTGTGAATGATTTTCATGTCACCAGTGCGTGGGATTTTGGGGTTATAAAATGGGAGGCAACTTTTTGAGCCGGGGGGGGGGGGGGGAGGGTCGTCATTAGCTCCATGCTGAGGCCGAAAAACATTTTTCTCTTTCAGGAATTAAATTTAACCAAAGTGGGGTTGTTGTTTTTTTCTACCACACCTTATACAGAGCACTATTATCAGGAAATATANCGCTCTTCCGAGTGTAGTGTACTTGGGCATTGTGTTATTTTTCAGAGAGAGAGGCATTCGAGGTGAAGTTGGAATAGTAGGCCATATTTTGACATGGGCCAGAATATTTGACAACACTGAAATGACTTAACGGTTGATGACCCCCCCCCCCACCACACCCCAAAAAAATGTATTAGATGAGCTTTTGATTGAGATCTGGCCAGTGACGTACTACGTTATTTTATTATTGATTTTTTAAATTCAAAAACCTGGATGAACACAACATTAGACCCTCACGAAGTGGCCACTACTTTACAAATCCCTTTATTCATAACAATTGCGTATGTTAAACGAAGTTCTCAATGATATCACTTGACATAGCTGAGGGCATGTGTTTCTTCTCTCAGGTAAGCCTTGGGGCTGAATGCATCATGCTCTCCAAAGGTTTCTTCATGAAATACGCCAATGATAAAGTCAAGAAGAGATTTTCTGAGATTGTTGCACCCTATCCTAATGAGAACACACTACAGGAAAGTTTGCAGGTAGACAGAGTTTCGGTATTAACTAAAGCACATACATTGGGTAGGAACCAGTGCACATTCAATTTGGTATTGCATTGGGTATGAACCAGTGAACAAACATTGGGTATGAACATATGCCCAAATAACCATATATATATATAATTTTCAATTTAGAAATCACGAAAGCAAACATTGAATTAATTAGAGTGGATGAGAAACAGATAGTACACTTGAAATGTACTATGTAGCTATAGATTCAGCAGAGTCAGTATTAATTCAAAGGTTGAATAAACAAGCTTTTTCTTAAAGCAATGCCCTGTATGTGTCCACAGCACAAAGTCAACTGGGAGTTATACAAGCAATCAGTCTTAGAGACAGCATCTCCTAAACTCAAGTATTTCAACAAGAAACAGCTTACACTGAATGCATGAGTGTTGAATTGAACACTTGAAATACATAGAAACCTGACAGCCTAAGAACTTTTATTGCAAAATATAAAAGGAAATTAAGTCTTTATTTTATATACTGTGATAGACTTTAATCTTACTTGTAAATTTTGCTTTTTGTTTCATGTCTTAACAACTACCTTATTTGTGCATAAGTCTATTTTAATGTCTTATTCATCTTATGATATATTGTAATTTTTTTATGTCTGACAAAATGGCTGGATGATTGAATAACCTTGTTAACTTTCCAAATCTGCATGTAAGAATATTTAAACCCAACCATGACTAAATTAACAGATACCATAGAAAAACAAGAAGAAAATAAACATGGGCTAGGTGCTAGGTGTGGTATCCCAGGAAATCTAATTGTCTTCATACTAACTAGCCAGAAGGGCTAATGAGCACCTGCTTCTTGCCTCCACACACCTGTCTCTTGCCTTCACACACCTGCCTCTACACAGCTGCTCACACTTCCTCCAGGGAAGCTGTGAGAGGGGGGGGGGGGGCACTGGTCTATCTCATTTTTGTATCCTCAGTTACCAGGAACTGACAAAGAACATGCCTCCATTAGCCAACCATGGTTGTGTTCAGCATCTACCTGTCTCTTGCCTTCACACACCTGCCTCTACACAGCTGCTCACACTTCCTCCAGGGAAGCTGTGAGAGGGGGGGGGGGGCACTGGTCTATCTCATATTTGTATCCTCAGTTACCAGGAACTGACAAAGAACATGCCTCCATTAGTCAACCATGGTTGTGGTCAGCATCACTGAGAGTTACTTACCAGAACTAGACAGTCTGCTCTTTAATGAAATCCATTTGATTCTTAATTTCACATTCACTCAAGAAATGTAGAACAGTTTAAACTATCCAATATGTAAGGTTTTCTTTTCAATAATCATTTTTAAAAATGCCTATGTTATAAATTTTAGTTTCACAAATTGCAAAAATTTCATTTGTTGTCTTATTAATAGCTTCAATAAATTAATGATTTTTTTTTTTAATTACTTCTTACAGAAAAAGGAAGCAAGCATGTAAATTGAATAAAAATAACATTGGATTTCTAAGACCTAATTTAAAAAAAAATATTTTTGACAGCTTCTTAAAATCTTCTTTACTAAAACTTTTAAAAATGTTTTTGTGTTTGTTCCTATGATCCAACTGTAATATCCTTCTTTAAAGTACCATAATAATTTATAAAACTGGACATGGTTGGGTTATCACTTTGTATCTAACCCTGTTACTAATATACTTTCCCCCTGACATTGCAAAGATGCACCAGGTCATTGAGTTTGAGCTTATATACTCTAATTAAGGAATAGGGATAACACACAATTAAAGAAAAACTGAAATGATTTTTAATAGCATATATTTACAAAAGTTTACAATTGTGAAAAATATTTTTTAACCAAACAATTAAAAAAACTAATATTTTGCTTTAAAAATCAAACATAAACAATTTAAGAATGGAAAGATTCCACAGTTTGTTCAGCCTTGCTATTTCAGAAAGAAGGAAAGGTTCTTTAACTTAAAAAATAGCGCATACTTTAAATGATGTTTCATGTTGTTAGTACTTTCTAAACAGAAGTCACCATTATGAACTAGCTTTATTAAAACAGCTTCTTCTGGACTTGGTTTTATAACATTATTTTTTCCATTTAAATCAAGCCTGCTTACAAAATTATTATATAAACTTTTAGCAGATTAAATGGGGAAAATTGGCAGTATTCATAGCTTGAATATGAACAAAACATACATATATAATTTATTTGCTGAGGTACAACGAAAAATTTGTCAAAGAAGGAAGACGAAGTAATATCATTAGCCATGTAGCTTTCTGGTGTATAAAAAAAAATAGAAATCTAACTAAGATTATTTACTTTATTTATAACCTTTAACCTTGTAGGTCAACAAATAGTGGCCCTATAAACATGTCTATTTCCTTAAATGTTAGCTAAATCCAGGAGACATTTTTTTTTTTACATTCTCAGAAACCAGAACAATACTTTTCTACTTTTCCCCCCCAATTCTTGTTTTAAAAAGGGCCTTACTTCAGAAACAATGGGAAAGATGATAATAATGTCTATCTTAACTGTTAGATTTCACTCTAAAGCAAACCACTTCAAGAAATAGCTCAATACTTTTTTGATTTTATAAAAATGAAAACTTTCAATGTAATAACTTTACTATTACATTTACATCAAAATATAAAAAGCACTGTTTTGAGTTGTAGCAGCTTACTTTAAATAATTGCTTGCATACACAAATTAATACCAACAGTTTTACTAGATTTACCATCAGTTTTGTCATTATTGATAGGAAATTTAACACAGAACGAGCAGGAACAAACAGCATTCAGCATTGATATCACTTCCTCTAATCTTCCCCTTCTTGCTGCTGCCCATCTAACACGGTTGACTGATCGTATCCCGTGCGATGAACGGCTTGTGGGGGTGCCGGAAGAAACCTTTTAGCACTTGAACCCGTTTCACTATCTGAGATCTGGACCTGTATCAGGCCACTGGCAAAGGCATAGCCCACCATAGCTGTGATGGCAAACAAACCTGCCAGAATCATGTTTCGGCGGCGATTTGGAAATTCTGCCATGTCTGTCCTTCCACCCTGTGCTTTTCTTTCATCTTCCTCTTGCTTCCTTTTCTCTGCAAGTTCTTTAAAGTAAGAAATGTAAAAAAAAGGGCTAAAATTAAAAAGTATAGCTCAAAGTAATTTATATGGTTCAATTTTATTATAAAGTTACAGAACCCATTATTCTTAACAATAATTTATTTTAACTGCTTATTTGTTTTTTTCCTTTTTACTGACTTAATTTACAAAGTAGTTCTCTAAATCACAAACCAATTCGCTACTAATTCTTTAATTCACTAACTAATTCTATAATTACCAAACAAAATATCTATTTCACAAACTTATTCTCTAATTTACAAACTATCTAATTAACAATTCTCTCATTACCAAACTCATTCTCTCTAATTACCAAACGAATGATCTAATTCACAATCAAATTCTCTAATTACCAAACTAATTCTCTCTAATTATCAAATTAATTCTGTAATTACCAAACTAAATATTTAATTCATAAAATTATTCTCTAATTCAAAAACTAATTCTGTAATTACCAAACTAATTCTCTAATTACCAAACTTAATAATTAGGAAGAGGGTAAACTGGAATGATAGCTCAATGAAGTTTTTGTAATTACCGAAATCAGCATTTACTTTAAGGCAAAAGGATTACAACATGACAGGCAATTATAATCAATAAAAAAGTTTTTTTTATTTGTGTTAAAGGGCATCCAGCTAAATTTTATCAATGTATTCTTAAATGGGGGTACCAGTTATAAACAGAGGAAGCTATTACTATTTATTTACCTTTAAGTTCTACCGGGAAGTAGGTGGTGAGTATGCTATTACACAACTGACAAAGGTTGGTGCACTGTTGGAGGTGGCTCTGCAGTGTATTAGATGAGAGTGGAGCCTTCAGCAGTGGAGTTAGGTAACCAAAGACCATGGCATCTAGGGATGATGGTCTGAGAAAGGAAGTCATTTCAGAATCTTGAAAAATTCCATTTTTTGTGTGTAAAGTTACCAACTTTAAAGCTAAAAGAAATTAAACAGATCTTTAAAAAAAAAACTTAGTATGGATAACGAAAAAATTTAATAAGATATCACTCATGCAACATCTGACCAGCTCAAGCCAGGCAACAGTGGTAATAAAAGGTTTCCTTCTAGTTACAGGTGGTTTTTTAATTAGCAAATGAATGAGTTTGGTATGACTTATATTGTGATTCCTAAAGAAATAATATTTTATTACTGTGGTCCTTAGTGCATCTCTGATTTTGAAAGCTGTGTTCTGTTTCTCAAAACAGATGCCAACTTAATTTAAAAAATAACTCACTTTCTTCCAAACATGAATTCTTTATCACCAAGTTTATAAGACAAGAGATTTAAGCACTCTTTTGCCTCCTTGTAAATCTAGAGAGAAAAAAAACAACAACACATCTTTAAACAAATTAAAAAGTAATAGGAAATAGTTTATGTCTGAATGAAAGGATCATCGAGAAAATCATTTGGCAAATTCATAATCATTGAGATAATGTTAAACTGAGCCACCAAGACTGATGAGAGGACTCAAAAAAATCCGAGAAGGACAAAAAACTTGTTGCACTGAAAGAGTTCAAATAATGACAGAACAGCTGTTAAATCCAAGCAATGGGTAAAAAAGGGGTCTGTCTCCTTTAGGTAATATTGTGCCAAAGTAGGATTTCCAATTCATGCAGTGTTCCAGCAACCTACAAGTCAATCTGCTCTAACATGTCTTTTTTTTGGGCACTTATTTATCTATTCTTTGGTCCCCCCATAAGGCATTAAAATCGCTCTGCGTGCCATGCCTGGCCTGTATGCTTCAGTTTGCCAGCCTCTGATTAAATCTAATGCACGTCCATGTTTCTGCAACAAGGGGAGTTAGTATTGAGACTCCTGTTTAAGACAAGTCTAAAACAAAAATACAACCTGGGATGATTTCACTGAAGAAATATATTTGTACAGTAACTTTCAGGAAACATTTGGAATGATTGCAGGTTATTTCAGGATCTTAATCTCCCATGTGGTTAGATTTCAATTTTTTTGTAAATGTCAATGATTAATGAAATATTTGCCAAATTTTCTTTCAGTAGCAAAAATCAATATAAGTAGCAACCCTCACAACAAATGAGATTACATGAAGGAGACTGCAATCAAGGTGTAAATATTAAGAAAATAAGAAGCACAACAAAGAAAATGAATACATACAATGCTTCAAAACACTTAAGTGGAACCTTTAATAAATCAAGATTGAGCTTAATTGAACAGGGTTATATTTCAAAAGATGTATTTTCCATGAACATATATCTTTGAGGGTTTATAACAGGACTTGCTTGCCAGCTTACCTTGGATTCAGTTTCTGCATCAGTGATGTGATCGCCTCCTTTGGTCAGCAACACCCTGACTTCTGCTCTTTTTTGCCTCTGCTGTGGCACAAATAAACTGAGTGGAAATGGAATAGCCTTCGCATACCAAGGTCGTGTAATATCTACATATGTTTTGTCATCCATCCACCACAGATGCAACTGAAAAAAAAAGAAGATAATGCTTTACAAAATATCAAATACTTAGAGGGGTGCACAAGGAAAATGCTTAGATGTCCAACCGGAATCTGTCACTTAATACCACCATAATTCTAACTGCGCTCAGTTTAAGTTTGAAATGTAATTACGTAACATTTGCCTATTAAAATTAGCATTGCTTCTTCTTCTTCTATATTTTAAGGGCCCACTATCAATGCATTGATCATTCTGGCTCCTATGCTACTTGCTATTCTTAAATAACATATTCCATTCAAATGCATTAAAAAAAATACTTTTTTCCCCTCCATTTACTAATATTTATTAAAGCAAAAATAATTCCCTATATAAAATATAGTAAAATTTGAAAAGAACTTGTAAATTTAAGCTTACCAAAGCTGGTAATAATTTCTCTTCCAACATTGCACAAAATGCTATTACATCTGCACTTTCTTTTGTGGTAAGGTGAGAATCATTACCCCAATGCTGCATATAAATACACACCAGTATGGGTTATTTTATTTCATAGTATAAATAAGTAATTGACAGAATATTTAAAAGATGTCAGAAAGCACAAATGAATTTTAACACAATTAGAAATAGAAACTAGAAGATGGAAAGAGATTAATTTCTAATTATTTTTGAAATTAGGATCTTTAAGTCTGCTTAATTTATTTAATTCTTCCATCTAATGCTAAACTCAGGGGTTTTATGATTTTATTTTATGCATTTAAAATCTTTATTCTAAGAAGGGGTCATTGGCCTTCGTCTGACTAATGAAGGGGTCCATGAAACAGAAAAGGTTATAATAATCACTCCTTTTTAACTAATGTGTCATTGAAGCAATAATATTTTTTTTTACTTGAGAAACAATTAGTTATGCATACATAGCCCTGTTTATGTTAATTCTTTTTTTCATTAAATATGGAAAATGTTTTTCTTACCCCTCATGAGGCGGCTGGGCCGATCTATCGGCCCAGATTGTTATGGTGAAAATGACAAAAGGCAAATCTATTGGCCAAATAATAAAAGCCTAGAGATTTACCAGCTAATCAGATTGCTTCTCAATTTTCTTGCTCATCTCACCATTTAAATGGCGGCTTGCATTGTTATTTTGCGGTGTTCTGTCATTTTATATCAATTTTTTTGGTATCTAGTGACCACTATAATTGCTTAAAAAATATGTGACCTTGAAATATGCCAAAAGGCATAACAGCTCCAGGGGAATATTTTTTGCTGTGTTTCTCATTGAATCTCATTCAAATATTATTTAGGCTTCAACAATCATAAATTAAACAAAATTCTGCAAGTAAGACAATTTTATTCTAAGTGTAAAAGAAATATTGCGTTCATAAATTTTGCACTAAAGATATCACTTATCCATAAATGTTGAGATTTCAGTTGGATTCATAAAGATTGTATTGAATTATTCAATTCCCTACAATAATATATATAGTTTTATATTTATAAAGTAATTATTTTATTTTTTATAAATTTTTTGCAAATTCAATGCAGGGCTTGGGAAAAGGGCACAATCTTTTTGGCACAGAGTCCAAAAAAAAGCTAAGTCTCAAAGAGGGTTAAATTCTTAGTACAGATGTAACCACAAGTATGAATTTTTCAAATTAACAAATTTGCTCAAAACATATTGGTCTAAACCTTTAACTGAACAAAAATAAAATTTTAATACAACTAAATAAATAAGAAAAAGCTAAATAGAAGTAACCTCTTTCCTCAAAAATGTAAAGATGTCTGTGACCCTGGAGTATGCAGAATTCCCATGACGCAGAACAGGAAAGTTTCCTGAAATAAAAAAACAACAACAATTTTTCTACATATTAAAGCAACCACCAGGTCAGCCCGATACATATCACTTCTTATTGTCTCAATCATTAACTACTCAGAAATCACTTTTTTCTAAAGTTTATTTAAGTTTATTAAACATGAAAGGGTTTTTAATATATGAGACTATCATTGTTTTTTTTAAAAAAATAATTAGCCCTCCTCATTTACTTTTATATTTTGTAAATTGTCTATAATCAATAAGGAGGGAGAAGTATTTAAAAAACAAATACAATTATTAAGTAAATAGGGAATGTGCATAATGTAAGTTTTAGAAAAACCACCCACAAAGTGTTTCTTAGTTATTTGTAATGTCAATACAGATGTACAAATCACAAAATGTGCCCTCCCTTCTCACTCTTCCTGTCTAACTACACTGGTGAATAGGGAAATTAAATTTTAAAAGATAATTCAGCAAAATTCAAAAAAAGGGGCCATATAGAAATTGATGTTCATTTTTATTACAATTTTTTTGGTTTTTTTAGAAAAAAAAAATTGTGAAAAATAAGTAGGAAACACAAAAAATTAGTTGCAGTGGGGAAGGAAAAAAAGCTAATCATACAAAATCATGAAAGCTTGGGATGAGCTGATAGCTATCTCCTTGATTACTCATATAACAATTAAATCTGTTATTTTTATAAAATTGAATGCTAATTTTTAGGATTGAAATTGTTTATGATGGTGTATTTACTAACCTGATGGTGAGCGCCATGGGTTGCCTGACTTAATAACATCAACTGGTACTTGAGAGAACTTGCAATACGCCTGAAGTCAGTTGATTAAATCTATGGTTATGAACTCATAAATATGTGGTCGCAATAATATCAAATGAAAGCAATTGTAATGATGTGACTATTAAAAAGACAAAGTCCCCATAAAATCTTCACTTATTTACATTTCCTATGTCCTGCTAATACACTTTACTCCAGTCCTTGATAAAATGGTAGAATAGAATTAAGCCTAATGCTTGAAAAGAACTTGCATATTGCTCACCATTAATTTTCAAATTCATAACATGGTTACATGGCACAGGAGAGTACTATTAGGAAATCATATATTTTAGGGCCTTCTATTGAACAATGGCACCCATAAATCAGAAAGAAACACTTGTCATATGTGTAGCTTAAAGACTAAGTAGTACAGTAAAAAAAAGAAGTGAGTGTAGTACAGTGTGTAGGCTAAAAGTATTTTCACACTGCAGATTTGTTACTTGGATTCTGAAAAAAAAAAAGCGGGATTAAGTTTCCTTTTCACTAGTTTTTAGTGTTGCAGTATATCATACATAGGCTGGCCTTATACAAAAATAATCCATTCATATTTTTGGTAAATTCTAAAAAAGTACATGACTGGTGTTTATATTGCTATCTGCTGTAACTTTTTTTTTGCGCACATGTATTTGCTACAGATATCAATTAATATTGAGATGAACGTGCAGATCACATTATAATAATTTATAACAGTCTGTCACTGGTAGAAATAAAGTTACTGCTCAAATTTATTGTGGTTCAAACTCGCGGTGACGTCGGCATAAAATAAAATTTATTTAAATAAGAATTAATTAACAAATTAGTGCGTCATTTAAAAAAACAAACTACCAAGTAATTTGAAAATTACTTGTTAGGAACAGCTATTTAAAAATAAAAACACAGGGCACCCAGTCAAAACCTGAATTTGGCATAGGCACCTGTAAACGAAATTCTAGAACCACTGGTGTAGCCCAAAACAATATATGTCACATGCACTTAGAACATATAGTGGACTAAATATTACTTACATACCCCTACTACTTAGGAGTATCTGAGTATATCTTGCGAATTCATTTGTGAAAATACATGGCAACATGACGATAATACACAAAACGATGCATGATATTTTTACAGTATTCAAGGTATAAATATGCTATTTTTAGATTTTCAGCATGAATATTGAAGAAATTTTAAATAACGTACCTACTTTCTGCCAAGAATCCCCCCCACACACCATATGAATGTGTACGTGAAATCTCAAATATAGACAACAGCCCTCCCCATTCAGAGCATATGTATTACGTGAATTAGCCCCTGAGTGACTAAAGTTGTCACTAGGGTGACTACGCTAATCACAGTTTTCATGTGTCTAGCAAGTTCATTATACACAAAGCAACAATATGATGATCACCACTATCATTATGAAAATGTGGCGATGTTAATTTTATATACTCTGATATTAGACACCAACCTCACCCACTTTTTTTTTAAAACACAAAATCTCCTAAATCATCACCATTCCATTTCTCTCTCAGAGAAAATGTATATAAATATAGATGGTCCCCAACTAATCATATCTGTATATCCACCAACTGCTGGGTGTAGAGTTATGCAAATGCAAGTTAAAACTAACAACCAAAAATGTACTTTTTAAAATATATATATTTAATTTGAAAAAACTAATGGGATGTATATGTTTTGAACTTGGCCTCTACAAATAGTAGTTTATTTATTTAAAGAACCATATGCCATTTGCAACCACAGGTTGCTAAACTTTGCCCTACTAATACTGCCAACTGGGTAGCACAAAAGTTCAGCATCTAATGTCTTAGTTGTGTCTGCTCAGTGTGAACAAATATGTAGTATATCTGTCTCATGGATTCCCAACATGGATTCACCACTAAGATTTTTGGCTGCAACAAATTAGCAGAGCAGTGTGAACGTACAGGGGAAAACAGATGAAACTCCTCAGAAACCGGTCCCTAATTCAAAACACTAGTAAAACATATCAAATGAGCAGTTACTTTGAACAATACTGTTTGACCAAGTTTATGGTCAATGTAACAACTTTAAGTATTGTTGGAAAATGTTTTCTTTGTTGCTAAAGCACCACTAAAGCATACAAGTATTAAGGTAACAGCCCATGGTATGTTCCATCTTGTGGAATTTGAAACTGATTCCGACATTCAATTCAGTAAATGTTATTGTAGTTTACTATTGTGCACCAACTTCCAATGCTTGCATTTCACTTCGTAAACCCTACAGAATATCATCATAGTGATTTTCTGTGTGTTAGGCCCACATTTTGCAAAAAATTACCTGCTGCGTATACCAAGTGTCACATTGCATGGATGGTATTTTCATTATTTTAGAATCCATCAGATGACTCAGCATGGCAGACTAAAGAACTGGGACGTTGGCAGTTATGAGACGGTGCTCCGCAAGACACTCCAACTCAAAGCATGCTGTCATACAGTGCCTTTGCCACCCTTTGGCTTTGTGTCATAAGTTTGCAGAATATTTCCTGGCCAAACATAACTTGCATTACCATGCTTGGGTATTGTTTATTTCATATTATTACAAGCAATTATTCTGCATGACAACTCCATTCATTCAGGATCGTTAAGTAAATAATAAAATAACATCACTAATTAACGGGGCTGCCAGGCACTTTCTAAAGAAAAGTAAACTATTTGGGACACACGTTCGCAGGTTTGCAAAATAGTTCACAATCATGCAAATACACTGCCCAACCTGCTGCAAACAAAAATGCCAATCTTGCACTCGTCCGTCCACTAATAGAATATAGTGCAATCATCTGGGACCCATACCTAAGGCAAGACGTGGACAAGATGGAGCAAATCCAACGTAACGAAGTGCACTTCATGGCATGTGACTACAAATCCACCACTCCTGGCTTCGTCACTGGCCTCTTAAAAAGACTTGACATCCACTCCCTCAAAGACAGACGAGAAAAGCTCCCTTTAACATTCCTAAACTATATAAAGTGGTCATGGGGCTAGTGCCGGTCATCCCAGCAAACATGTATCTCACCCCACAGAAGACAGGTCACTTAGACAGAGCCAAACGCTCACTAAATACTGACTTCAACTCTAACAACCCATAAGTTATAAGCAATTACATCCAGAAAAATTATAAATGCTTCGGTAATCTACCACTTGAGCGTCGGCCAAGAAAAAATCCAGCTGTTCCGGTTGGAAGGGCTATTTAAACAACTATTCTTATATTATTTTTAATGACATTGGTTGTACGTATGCATTTCCATAATAATAAACAATTTTTTAAAAATAGAAAAACAATAACAATTTTTTTGAAATAGAAGATAATGTGTGAAATTATGCTTAGTTCTCCCCCAAGTTGACAATGAAGTTTAAAAAAATATAATTTCCACGAAAAAAGTTGTGGTACATGAATCCACGTAAATATGAAGGGGCAAGATCACCGGCGCTTCTTGTGCCAAACTGTCTTTTCAGTTAATGCTTTCTAAGCATTCACGTTTTCCACATTCTGTGGGTAGACATCCGCGTTATCTGGATTAAAAAAAATAATTGTAGTCTCTTTTTCTTCCTGGCATATTGGTAGCTTGGCAGTAATAATTATTTAAATGTATTAGTATAGTATAGTATTGTGCTATATAACTTTATAGCCTCTATACGAAGCTAAAATATTAACAGACTCCAATGTAAGAGTAGTTGTTTAAATAGCCCTTCCAACCGGAACAACTGGATTTTTTCTTGGCCGACATTCAAGTGGTAGATTACCATGCTTCACTGTCCAATAAAAACAGCTTCACTGTGCCTCAGTGTTTCACAGTCCAATAAAAACAATCATTTTTCCCACACCACACACAATCATTGCTTGGAACCACCTGGACAATACCGCCGTAAACGCGACGTCAATCAAGAGCTTCAAAATTGCCCTAGCATCTGCTAGGAGCGGTTAAAATACCAGCATAACGTTCCCAACAGTTGCACATTTGCCAGTACAGTACACAGTACATGGATTCAGCAACGGACCCTACCTCCTGAGACTACCAGAAAAGAACGAGAAATAATTATTTTAAAAAAAAATGATAATGACGCGAGTGTCACGTTTGTACCATGACCATACGACATACAAGAGGAAACTGCGTACTTGTAATGAGCTATGAAGATTGGGTACGGAAACAAAGTAATACATTTCAATAATAATATTACCAATACAGCAAGACAATGTGGATCAACTGATGGCAAACCCCAATCGCCTTTCCAAACTTCTAGTTTCATTTTCTCCGTCGCCATTTTAACCTTGACCCGATGCGTTACTATACTATAAGTAACTTCATTTTACTACTTTTTAAACCCAATTGTTATTTATACTTTAACATCCTTTAGTCACCCAAAGAAAAAAAAACAACAACATAACTTGACCAAACAATGAAAATGGGAAAGGAACCTTCACACCCAGAGGCGTAACGAGGACCGAGGGTTTGGTAATGTCTTTTGCACGTGAGATGAGGGCCCTTGATTGGGGCACAAAAATGGAAGGCCGGACAATTTTAAAAAAAATACATCTACCTGTACTCTATTGAAAAGGCCCTAGTGAACATCCATAAATGAGGTCATACTATTTTAACCGATATAGGGTTAGTGCTACTTTTTGCTGCCCCCCCCCTCCCCCCCCCCCCCCCCCCCCCCCCCCCCCTCGCAGTCGGCTGAAAAGGCAGCCTCTCCTAAAATCTCAATATAAAGAAAAAATGTCACCCTTTGTGGACCACCCCATGATCACCCCCATCCTATGCTAATGTACCCCCCCCCCACTTTACACATTTTACACAAATTTAGACAAATTTTTAAATGGCTTTTATCCCATTTGTCCACAAATTCGTGACCCTATCACCAACCCTTTCTTTAAGAAGTGTGACGTCGTTTATGGATACCCCACGACAAAATGCAACTCACTAATCTGATTTGGCCTATGGTGCTGTCTTTGTATACTGATATATAGTAAATCTTAATTTTATTAAATAGATTTCTCGAATATGGTAAGGGTGCAAATTAAGTTTTTGACTGGAAAAGTCTTATCGTGTGCCTGAGTTATTTGGGGGGAAGGAAAAGACTTAACTTAAATATTTCTCACTTAATTCTTCTTAAATCTGCCTTTTATATTTTGTCTAAAATCTCTTAGTAATTTAAAATTTATTACAGTCTTGAGGAGATTACTGACAGTAAATTCTAGCACAGGCCTCCGAAATTTCGGGAGCAATGTTATGACTGCGTTATTATATCCGAATTCGCGTCAAAGTGAAAGCGGGTTTTCGCTTTATTAATATTTAGCTACCTGATATGTAAAACCCGTTTCAAAATTAAAACTGACCGAGACAACGTCTGACAACGTAGCTATCCCGGGACATACCGGTCGAACTGAGACGTACGAACATGTTCATAGTCATACTAAGACTAAATGTGTTAGGACACTCTGGCAGGGGTTGAAAATCGCCGACCCAGACTAAGACTTAAAGTACTAAAGGTAAAAGGGTATTTTAAAAGCAAACTTCTCAGGCCTACATGTAGTTGTTAACAGGGTAGAAACTTGGGTAAAAAAAGGATTTTCCACTATCAAAATAATAATAATAATATGTAGGCCTATTTATTTATTTTAATTTGGGGGGGGGGGTAGGGGGGAAAAAGGAAATCTTTTCCCATTCTCATAGTCCAACCTTAGGCCTACATATGCTTTCCTACAGGACATAAGCCACGTTTGTTCACTACTGCTCTATATCATGTCTTAAGATTATTATAATTATTTTTAAATCCTTTATATTAACTTCGCGTCTTTTCGTGGGTGGGTAGCAAAATCTTCGGACGGCTGATTGGCCCATTTCCCATCATATCGAGCTGAAACTTGGTACATAGACTTGTTGCCAATGACAACGCTTTCTATCAATTTTTTCAGCATCCCAACCCCCC